ACCCTCCCTTCAGTACCCTTCCTTCCCCTCCTCAAGAGCTGCGCTCCAATTCGGCGTTACAGGGAGTTGTAAACAGCTTTTTTTTTTTTTTTTTTTTTTTTTTTTTTTTTTTTTTTTTAACATTTATCGCTTTATTTTGGGTGGGCGTTTTTACGGGATTTTGCAGAAAATGTTATTTTCGGGGGATCGGTGGCCGAGTGGGCTAAAGCGCACACCCAGCTCGACGCGCGTGGAGCGAAAGCTCGCGCTGCAGAACCCAGGGATCCTGGGTTTGAGCCGAACCCCTGCCCGTTTCGGTCTGGATGAGCATCGTACCGGCGTGCGGTTGTGTATCACTACTGCGTGAGCACGCACGTTAAAGACCCCATGTTAGCAATCGTACTGCGCTGGCAAAATTGCTCATCTACAGTGGTAACCAGTGACGCCCCAACCTGGCAGACCGACCTTACTCTGTATAAACATTAAACGTCCAATTTGACTTTGATTTGTTATTTTCGGAGACGCGTTGCAGATGAAACGGGAAACAATTCTCGCATAACGGTTCATTCCGTCCGTGTGTACGCGTGGCCTTGGAGCATCCAGTCTCGTACAAAACCAGCGGAGCTCAAGACAATGATAAATGAACAACGTAGGTCGTGCGGGTAATAGCGGTGGCTTAGCTCGGCTACGCCAGGATATACGTAGCGTGAGCTTATGCGCACAAAATAGGGAGTTTTAGAATAGCGCACGCTAAAGCTTTGCGCACGCAAAGGATAGCGTCGTCGCCACTGCGCATGCTCCGAACGCAAACCAGGTTTCGCGCTTTGCGTGCGCAATTTTAGCGTGCGCTATTTCTCGGAAATAGCGTGCGTGCGCAAAGAGCCTTTGCGCTTCTCCAAGGAGGATTCATGATGAGAAGTTGGCTAAAGCCAAGACGAGCAAAGTTAAGCAAAAATGGCGACTTCCAGGATTATGTCGGCGGCTGCTTTGGCAGCGTCGTGAGTTCGACGTCAGCGGTATCCTCGCGACTGCGATTTTCAATACGAGACGAAATTGTACTCGGTTTCGCAACGATCACCGGCAACTTGATGCTTACGACGCGCGAACACTTCTCGGCGAAGGTCAGTACACGAGACCTCTCTTGCCGAGGCGACGCAAGCGGGCACGACCGGTCAACCGCTCGCGTCGCATTCTCGTGTTTAAACAAATCTAAAATGGTACTTTGGACCAAAAGACTTGTTTCTTTCTAAAGTTACAGCATTTCGTGTGTGAAATAAAAATTGTGACTATCTTGGTGGCGTCGCAAGCGCGAGATGCTTGGACTTTTGCGTCGCGACGGAGAGAAACGCTATTCTAAAACTCTCTTGCGTCGCGTGCGCTAATACAAGCGCTAAATTTAGCGCTAGCGTGCGCTAAAATTGCGTACGTTATTCTAAAACTCCCTAATGAGAGGCGCTATCAAGCGGCTCCGGTGCAGCGTCAGACTTAGCTACTGCCGACGTTATTAGATTAGCTCAGTTACGGAACTGCTCATAGGCGCCGCATACACGAACAGTACACCCCCCCCCCCCCCCCCCCCCCTCACTCACCACGACTCGCCAAGCGTCGCTCGACGCGCCGCCGGACGGCTGCTTTGGTAACTGCAGCGTATTCTATGGGAATCGGGCACGGTGAAATCGGGTCGGGATCGCTATGTGCGTTTCGAATCACGGCGTCTAGATGGCGCTTCATCTCTGCTCCTTGGAACGCACAGTTATGAAACGAAAATCTAGATGGCGCTTCGAACGACATTTGGTGGATTGAGGTGAGTGAGGGGGGGTACCCCCTTCCGCTTGAGTTCCACAAGTGAGGTAATCTAGTAACGTTGGCTACTGCGCAACGGAGGCGGACAGCTGAGCACGCGGCAGCGCCAGTGCGTCTGCCGCGGCTATGACGTCACTCTTCTGGAATGTGCAGACCGGCGAGGCGCGCGCGGTGGCGGCGGAGAGCGCGGAGGCGGCGCTCAGGCGCGCCAGCTGTGCGCCGTGGGACGTCACTGCTCCTCGCGCATGCGCAGACCGGTGAGGAGCGCGCGCGGCGGCGGCGGAGCGCGCGGTGGCGGCGTCTCCGGCGCGCCAGCTGTGCGCCGTGTGACGTCACTGTTCCTCGGGCTTGCGCAGCACGGCCCTTTGGGAGCCACGCGAAACTGCTCAACCTCGGCCAGTGTAGCTAACGCTACAAAAGGGATGGCGATGGAGCCGGCGTCCAACGGTCGACACGTGCGGATATGAGAGCCATGCCTGTGCATGTGTCGCGCATAGAGAGCCTAGATTTGAGCGAGGAACCAATTCAAACTATAAAGAGCGTTTGCAATATAATGGCGTACGCCTCTCGCGCAGATTGGTGGCAAGTTCGCATGCGCGGTGTCGTCGCGTAGCGAGGAGGAAAACAGCGGGAGTTGTGGAGACGCTTGCAAACGATAATCGCGTTCGTAACCTCCTCGCACCTCGTATGCGGAAGCAAGTCGTCTGCTTATTTTGCGGGGGTTGAGGCGACGTCAGAAAGACACCGTGCTCTGATCGAAGGATAGTGGATAGACCTCTAAGGAACCTACCTTGAGGTCTACCCACTATTCTTCATTCAGACCCAATCACAGCTCGGCGTCTTTCTAACGTCACCACAACCCCCGCAAAAAAAAAAAAAAAAAAAAGCAGACGAATTTACGTTTTGCAAACGCCTAATAATTACCACGTCGATCTAGCAGTTGGAAACACTCTGTAATCTAGGCACACTAGTCGCGCACTCCACCATCAGCGCCGCCTCCTGGAAAGCTGAAGAATTAAATTTCATCAGCCACAGCCTCCGAGATCCCGAAACGCTCGTCACGAGAAGGCTTCGCGCGCTTCGGGAAATCCGGGAGGCCATGCATCTGCTTTCCACAGACGGCGCATGTTTGGTGCAACGTCTCGCTTAGAGCCACCGTTTAATCTATAATCCTCAGCCCAGCACGCGCCTGTTCGTTGCTTCGGAAAGCAAGCAAATCACGCGCCATACGTACGAACACTGAAAACAAGAATCGGCCAGAAGCCCTTCCTTTTAGAAAGGGCTCCTGTGATCTCGCCCATCTACAGGGGATTGCTGCATTCCCCGGTGTTCTGCCGCTATGTTTCCAAGGTTAGAGAAACCGTCCAAGCTCATGTGATCGGTCTGAGTCACTTTGGAACAGCTGAAAAAACTTTCAGAGCAGAAGTCTACACTTCATTTTCCTTCCTGGCACTGCAAATATTACACTCGTAGGTTAACCATCTTTTCCCCCACTGCGGCCTCGAGCCATCCTTGTCATTAAAGGACTTCAATCAATCAATACTCGTACGTTAAGTTTCATGCGTTGGCCTGCCCATCAAAAATACACTGCGCACTTTGTCTTTCCACTTATGTACAATTTTTTGTTAGCATCAATCGCAGTATGAAATAACAGTATGTTAAAATACAACCAAGTGAAATATTATTGAGCCCCTAGGTTAATGTTTCATTGAAGTCATAAAAATGCAGATAAGAATAACAAAAATGCAGAATTCAGATAAGAAGAAAGCTTTTGTCATTTGAATAAAATTAATGACAATGTGTATGTAGGACTTCATGATGACAAACAATCGACATGTGAAAGATAAATAAGCCTTAGAAGCGATCCAGTCAAACTCGCTAAGATTATTCTTAAGTTGCCGTCCACTCCTCCAGATAACTGAGTTTAATTTATTCCCTCCACTGTGTCGTTGCACAGATGGAACCTATGTAAAGGTAATAACTAAACCAGAGAGTTAACATAACAAATAGTAAGCTTATAAAGAAGTCTATATAAATCTTCCTGCAATACATAAGCGTCCTTGCTAAATCTCGAATTTGAACAAAAAATCATAAGAATATCGCAGTCTATCAAATAGTATACTAGCCGCAGTTTCGTTCAGAATATTTTAATGCAAGGTTGAGTTGTTACATCAACACTTACTAAAGTTAATTTTTCTGAAAACTGGGTTAACCTAGGCATGGGTGCTTGTCTGGTCAAATCAGGTGCATAACGTATAATTTACAGAATTCCGAAGTTTGGAAAATGGTTATAGTGGGCGCACGAACGAAATAGGCACCTCCGCCATATTTTACGGTACTCCTCCAGAACAACACCCTGTTCTGGAGGAGTGCATTTCTTTTAGCACGTAACTGTGCTACGTCAAAGCAAGATTCGAAAAATTGCAATGACTACTTTGTGGTTTTACCTTCACTCCAGTGCACGAGTGCACGGTGAGAAGCGCACTCAATGAAACTACCCAACACACCAGACCAGAACATCAAAAATATTGTGCGAATTCTGAGTACTGTCACTGTTTGATACAGAGATCAAATCAGGTGGTACATTAGTTAGGGCAATAATCTAAGTTTTGAAAATTCGGACAAGCCTACCATAACAATCCGGTTGTGTAGCGGAGACTCGGTTATTATATTTTCAGTATTGATGAAGTGAATTAACGTTTAAGCGCAATGTTGGCACAAATTCATCACATTTTGGCGAAATGTGGCAGGATGTAAAAGGGTAAGCACTTTGGTGCAAATGCATATTTGCCAAGTTTGGAGAAACCGAATCCGGGAGAATTTCTAAGCGGGGGAGAGAGGGGGGGGGTTGAAAAAAATATTGATAACAAATTTACATGCAAGCAAGATACAGGTGGGCCTCGTTATCATTGCAGCCGTTTGTTGGAACGACAAAGACTCCTTGTTTAAGTGCGGGCGAGGGGGGGGGGGGGAGAATTTGCATTTTCACGGAGAATTTTTTGTTAATTGTACGACCATACAAATTGGTCAAAATTCGGGAGTCTCCAGGGTAATACGGGAGATTTGGCAGGTATGCAAATGGCACAGCAATCATGTCATTGTAAAAAGAAAGCTGAGCGAGCTTGTGTCAACTGATGCGGTGATGCCAAATCTGCCCAGAGTAAAGCAATATGAACTTTCCCCTCGGAAACAACCCGACGCAAAAACGTGCCGCAATGTAGGTCAAAGGGTTTATTTGCTGCAGGAAGTATGAAGCATCAGTTTTTGGTCATTTTCGCAAGTAAGACTTCTCAGCTTCAGCCTTTTTACCTCGTTACATTTACGATGCCGCTTCGAGTTTGTTCCTTAACAGTGGGCTAAAATTATATTAAAAGTATTGAAGAATCTGTGCATAAAAAATGAGCTCCTTATATCTGACACTCCACTTTTTCCGGGTTTGTTATATTCAACATATACCTTATTTTTTTATGTACAAAAAGCAACCTAAAACCCTCTTTAGAACAGTGGATGGCAGTTGCTGTATTTCTCTTGCACTATAACAGGGTCACCGTGCCACCAAAACCAGCGAGTTGAATGCTTGCCCCATCAAAAAATATCTTCTGTTTTTAGCCGACGGTTCTCTTGGGCACTTCTGAGATTTCAGACTTGCACCACTTAGTGAACCAACTGAGCACACAGGCGTTGCATATTTCGGCCGGCTATCGACAGTCACCTTCTCACATGGACGGACGTTTCACAAAACAAGGGCAACAAACATGGCGGGTCGTACGACACAAATCATCTCTCCCCCACGTGAACATGACACTTTCCCATTCAGAGTTCATTCCTAGCAGGTCTCGCGGAGGACGACATTTTTTGTCGGATGTCGTCGTAACGTTCTAGTTCGGATGGAGACACAGAAGGCACCAGGTCTCTGAGGGCCACCTTGAAGTCTTCCAGCGTCACCAGGACAGTCTGGTTGTTGGGAGCAAGCTCACCTTGAAGAAATAGAGAAGCATATAATTTGGTATTAGAAGACCAAAATGTTTCGGTTGCAACCAGGTTGTAACTGATACACCATTGTCACTGAAGCACAGAAGCTTGTTATGTCTGTCTCTCCGAGTCTGTTTCAGTGAAAGTAGAGTACAGCTAATTTAGGACAAACCGAGGTAAAATGCAGGCACTGCATCCTCTCTTCGACATGAATTCGAGCAACAGCGGATAAGAGCTGTCCTGGATATCATTCAACACCTAATGTAGAAAAGCTTGTTTATCATTGCTCAGAGTGGTTGAAGAAGCTTCGCCATAAAGGGCAAAACAAAAACTAACTGAATTCCACAAACAAGCAATATACCCGATGCTGCCTGCACATGAAATAATCTGTTTGCCAATAGTACATTCGAAAATGACAAAGAAACATTTGATCCATTCTAACTTGGACATCTTTAGCACCTGTCTTTTCTTAGACTAAGCTTGATAATGACAGGGAAGCTATCCCTAAGCCCAGAAGAAGAGCTATGAAAAGGGCCGGAACTGAAGAGACGTCTTGTGAATTGCTGGCTATGTCACCGTGGACGTCTCTCTTGCTGCACCAGATGTATTCTGTCTGTTCCAGGTGACAAAGAACCGGTGACAAAACCCATAATCAACTCCATTTCAGGAGTGATACAGTGCGTGGGACAAGTCTCCAACTGGTGTGTTTATCATTCAATCCTACCCATGCATTCTCCCATGTGTGCTCTGCTTTTCATCAATGGTCTGGCTGCAGAGCAAACAGCAGCAGAACAGGCGTCTGCTGCATCCATCTCTGCTGCTGTGCCATTGTCGGGATTGCGGCAAGCAACGGCATGACACTTTTACGACGTCATCGGGCGGAAATCGAGACCACTCTTGAAGACGCAACACACACGCCAGTCAAAGACGTGCTCCAGGCGCCATAGCAGTGCTACTGCGGAAGTAGAGCAGACGATCGATTAGGTTGGCATGACTACGCTGTGGTGGTACCTTGTTCCAGTGCCTGGATGTGGTTCCTGGTGGCAGAGGCCATGGCAGCCGAACAGAGCGAGTAGAAGTCGGCACCCGTGAGCCCGGACGGACACGCGTCCAGGACTGAGCCCAGGTCAAAGCCCTCCGCAAAGTGGAACCTGCGCAGCGAGGACTGCATTCACACCCAAGGCGTACCCCATGGACAATATAGGCTGCAACGCACGGTTCAACTTTGTTCTGTATTTGAAGCCTTAAGACTTCAAACACATCACTTCTCGACTTGACAAGGAGTTCAAAGAATGGGACCTAAGCTTAGTATTCCAGCCCTAATTTGGATCAAAGCTTCTTCAAAGACTGGAAGATATGCCAAAGCAGCATTAAGAACTGTAGCAGCTGATAATGTTTACAATACAGTGCGATCCACTTATAAAGATAATAAAAAAGCCCCAAACTTCAATCGTTATAACCGATTATCATTGTATCTGGACTGGAAACTAATTCTTTATAGTCTAGAAGCTCTAGAAATTCATTGTTATAAGCAGTATATCGTTATAAGTGGATTGCACTGTAGTATGGGTTACTCATACAAGATCGTATGGGCATGACTTGGTACAGAATCTACGCCATATGATACAGCAAGTCAAATAATACAAATTCTGCCAGGGGAAAGAAACAATGGCTTTTCGATTTGATATTTTGTAAGCTTCTTAAAATGCAACTCCGCTTCATTTCTGTTTTTGAAAAAAAAAAATGCGGTCCTCTTGTGCATCACCTGGGAAGACCACACATCAAATATTACGACCTAGTTCCGCGTAAATGTTTCTTAAACGGTCCGGCAAACTTTACAACATGCCAAGTTGCCGAAATTGGCTGATTATAGTGGGCGAATTGAGGTGCAACCAAAAGCGTAGTCAAGGCTACGACGTGGGCATGGCCAACATTGAGATAAACATCATCACCATTGCCCGTTTTTGCTTTTTATTACTTCTCCGGGCAAGCGTAACAGGTGATGTCAGCAGCGTTTCCTCTCGGCGCTCAGTGGTGTCCACGTGATCGGCGTGACGCGCCTGCACAGTGCACTTCTTGGGAGCCGTCCGGCCATCTTGCCATTACCGCTGTCTCCCACGTCACAACCGCCGTCGTCGTCTCACCGTTCGTAATTATTGCCTCTCGGAGTTTCAGTCACACTACATGCGCAGACTGACGCCGCAGTTGTGCAGACGTCGTTGAATGTCGTAGACACCAAAACGTGGTGAAGAGTGCGGTTCAGAAGACACTTGCGCCTGACACACGCCTGCCCCAACGGAGGCCCGCTGGCCCGCCCCAATGCCGCCTGTCGTTGTGTAGAGGGTCATGTGACATCTTGTATTATGTGACAGTCATTTTTTGGCTGCTTCATGACAATGTTGCCGGATGAAGACAAGGTTTCAGTTTCAATTTTTGCTCATGTTTAAAGTAAGATTAAACCATATATATTCCATTTTTCGCAAAGCAAATGATGTAACAACTTTTATTAGTGCTTTTTAATCTGCAATCCCTCATTATCCCGAAATTTTTTTAAATTGAGTGGGGTCGCTTTTTAATTTAGCCTGCGGCTAGACTGCTAAATGGTCAACGAGCTGAGTTCTTGAGTTGCAGTCGTCACTCCCAGTCAACATATATACATATAAAAAGCTCGCAAGGGCAACCTAGATGTGACATGCACTTCCAGGTGGATGATGATATGTTCCACCTCCTATGTCCACGGTCGGAACAGCCTCACAACTTTGTGCATATTCCTATGCTGCAAACATTCATATCCAAATTATCGCAGCCCATGGTGTCTAATGGAGCAGCTCTGCCAATTCCTGCAATTCACCTGACCGTGCAAGCAACCTCTAAAGACCCCTCCTGTCCACTCACCTCCTAGTCAGGGCCTTCAGAACCTTAAGCTGCGACTCCCTGTCGGTAAGAATCCCCACGTACAGCAGCTGGTCGAACCTGGCCGCAGAAGGGAACAACACACATCAGCTGCACAAATTGGTCATTCATTTGCCTTACAAAATATGTGCATCAGCCCTGCTCGCTGTTCGTTAGAGCACCAAACCCACCCTTAGACAGCACTCCTCAGGTGCACAGACAAGTTAGCCACCTTACAACACATGCTCATCAGCTCTGCACACTGTTTCTTCAAACACCCATCTTAAGAACTGCAGTCGCCACACAAATTGCACAAACTCAGACAAGCCTCGGTATTATGATCATTTAGATTCGGCCAACCTTCCGGGTCGAAGGATGGCTGGGTCCAGCAGGTCTGGCCGGTTCGTGGCCCCTATGACGAAGACATCGGCCGACTTGTTTAGGCCGTCCATCTCCGCCAGCAGTTGGGACACCACCCTGCAGGATGCGACACCACCCCCCTTTGAGTTTACGCAAACGGAATCAACTCGAAGGGCAAAACAGCCACAATGCTGGTTTGTATATAGACAACCAACTGCCTGTGGTTGGACATCAACTTAATCAGGCTACAAACTACCAATGGTCAAAAATCGCTGGTCATTAAGACCATAACTCAATGACTAGTTTCTTTCCCTATAACATTTTTTTATATCAGTCAGTCTTTTACAATACAGGACCATCAGTCTTGTACAACTCAAAGCTGTCAGTTAGAATTTTACGATTCGGAAAGTGGTACAGTGAAATACCTCTTGAACAAACTTCAAGGGACCCGAAGAAAAAGTTTGCTTTAAAACTTTGCCCAACTGAACCCACTGGACACAATGGGGGATTTGCAGGAAAACTTCACAAATGGGTTTGTTTACCTGGACTTTGTTCAAGTGGTACTTTAACTGTAAGTCCCTTACAACTCGGAAACATAATCAGCATTACAAACTCGCACTTACCTGTCCATGACGCCACCGGAGTCCCCGCTGCGGCCACGGTTGGGAGCAAGCGAGTCGAGTTCATCAAAGAAGATGACGCACGGAGCGGCACTCCGAGCACGGGCGAACACTGCGTCCAACAAAGCCCGCTCAAAAACAATATCCAAGATTTTTGACAGGCTAGCCCTGTCTTCCTCGAAAACTGGGCTTATAAGTTCCCAGTCTTTCATATCAGTCTAGGGCCAAGCGTTGATAAGAGCTTTGAGAATTGTCTCGACAGCATTAGAGCTACAAATGCTTGGACACCTCCTCAAGCTCCATGACAAAGCACATGCAAACAGACAGCAAATGCCCTCATTAGCCCTAGTGTATAAACTGAATCTGAACTTCACGAATTTTAATAATATAAAATAAATTTCTGCCCTGTCAATATTCTAGAGATAGAAAACATATTAACATAATTCCCTAAACAGAATGGAATCCTACAACACATTTCAGGTTTCATTCGAGCAATGTAAGAACCAACAAAGGTTGCCGGCCGGCATGACAGGGGGAGAGAGAGAGATACTTCCAGTTTTCCTATATTTATTTTGCATTTGAGTGTGTGCGCGACGACTTTCGGTTCACTAGCGAACAATTGCCCGAGAGCTACGATCTAGAAATGCTACAGTCTCATGCATTTAAGTTGCCAATGTGAACCGGCACAAACAAAATGTCACAAGTTAAGTTCTTTCGATTATCTCGAGACGAGAGACGCCACCGACGTTGCCGAGCTTTGGTGATCGCAGCTAAGCAGACGGTGGTCGCCTGCTTCGATGTGTTGCCGACAGATGGCACAACGTGACAAACATGAGGATGCGGCACCAGCAGTGCCTAGACTGACCATCTCAATACAACGATAGGTGCCAGCAGGGCCATTACAGCACATATAAATGAAAGCTGATACGGTGCTCTGGGAAAGAAACCCTAAATACAAAACTAAGCAAGTTAAAACATGAGAAAATTGGACATTACAGAGACTAGCGCCGTGCCAAAAGAAGCGTAGTAAAAACTTTCAGAAAATTGTCTGCTAAAACCAAGACCCAGTTCGGTGACCCCTGCGGGAAAGTTTGGTGCATTTCTTCGGCGCTTGGGGAAGGTAGGTTTCCCTTTCCGATGCCTTGCTGTTCACAAAGTAGTTGCACACGTTTAAGAGGTTTTAAGTCGTTCTTAGGTACTGTAAACAACTTAATTTTCGCAGGCTCAGTTTTCCCGATTTAGGTCAAAGCTAAAGTTTTGAAATAATTCGAGGATTCTCATTTTCGCGACGCGGTGGGATCTCAATATAGGTTCTAATGTGTTTACATTTTACCAGAATTGTTCACGGGACCTATTTTTCGTGAATTGTAGGCGACCCACGAAATTCGCGAAAATTAGGTCTTTGCGAAAATTAAGTCCTTTACAGCAGCGGTTCTCAAATGGGGGTCCGCGGACCCTTTGGGGTCCGCGAAGGCATTGAAGAGGTCTGGGAAGCCCTGCCTCATCAGTCAAGCACGTATGTCAATTTAAGAAGTCTACTTCACACTAGCCCTTAGTTATTTCCATTTATTAAATCTTAATTATAGTTAACCTATACATTTCCCTTCCCCTCACCACAAACGGGATCCTCCATCATCTTCGCCTATCCACAAGGGGTCCGCGAAGCATCATAGGTTGAGAACCACTGCTTTACAGTTTATGGACCATACTTGGGTAGTAATTCAATCACAGCAATTGAATTACTGTAATTTAATTATTTCTTCTGGTAATTTGCAATTGTAATTAATTACTTTAAGCTAAAAGGAATTGTAATTGTAATTTAATTACTTTCGAGCGTCAGTAATTGCAACATTTCAGGCAGAATTACAATTACTTTGTAAGATTTTACGGCGTCTGCACTTTTTCTCCCCTGACCACGGGGGACGGCAGTACAGCCTAAGCGATAGGGGAGAGAGTGTACCCCAACCTGCTCAAAAGGAGGGAAAGGAGGAATGGGAAAGAAAGGCTAGGATATAACGGAATGAAGGGTTTTGTAAACTGTAAAACGATTTAATGAAAAATTTGAGAAATAATTTGATACATGAGGGCTACATTCCCGTCGGTTTTCGTTCGAGCAGTTGAAATCTGTCTCTTCATCGCGTTCGCTTGCTGTTGCTCGTGTTCCTAGGGGTCTCTCTTGTTTTTCATTCCCCTCAGGGGGCATCGGGGTTCCAAGTCGAGCTGGTTGGCTCCGATCACATCATCCGGTTGAGGCGAAAGGTTCGAGGTTCTCCTTACGCGTCTTCGTCGCTAGCATATTCGCTTACATATTTCAGTCTAGGTTGGGGATTTTACCGTATTTACTCGAGTAGTAGCCGCACTATTTATGAACAAGGCCCTTGCGTCTACTTTCGCGCAGAACTCAAATACAGCTAATCATCGCTTTGCGCGTAAATAACACAGCGAATAACTAGACCGCGAACACGATTCTCCATACAAATGCAATCTTCAGAGATGGTATCTTCGCGCGAAGGCGTTATCTCTGTCCTGTAAACTGCTAGAATCATGCTGTCAATCGCGGTGATTGGCAATCCACGTGTTCCGAGGAAAAGCGAACCCTCAGGTTTTCTTCACAAACAGTGCGGCTAATACTCGAGTAAATACGGTATTGTCCATGAAATTATTCTCTTTTCTTTACGAGCTCTTCACGTCCCCCTACTCTAGCTTGTCTGTTGGTACCACTTACAGTAAGTTGTGCTGCTCTAACATCGAGGCGAAGAAGCAGCAGGTCTCGTTAACACGACTCACCCCACCTTACTTCCAAACGTTGTTGCTACACTGCCCTTCCCTCTTCCAATCTTCATCTACCTTTCCGCATAAAGTTTCATTATTCACTGTTTGCTTCAACCCCTAACCCTTTCAACCATTTCTCAACCTGATTGGACGAGATTCCAAAACTTTACAAACCGCAGTTTTAGACTGTCAAGACCTTGTTCTAAAATAAAATAAAAATGTAATAAAAATTGGTTTTTATTCATTGCGAATATAAGAATTCAGGAATTTATTACTCCGAACTGTTAAGTTCTATAATTCATTTAACAAATTTAATAAAAGAAAAGTACAATAGGTGACATTTATACAGAGGCCATATAACTCGTTTATAGTTACATTGCCCAAGGTGGGTAGCTCTCAGAAATAAGTAATTGTAAAGTAATTGCATTACTTTTTAAAAGTAATTTGTAACTGTAATGAATTGCTTTCGCTCAGTAGTAATTTGTAATTGTAATGAATTGCTTTCGCTCAGTAGTAATTTAAATTGTAGTTAAACTACTTTTGGAGCAAAATAATTGTAATTGTAATTAAATTACTTTTTGAAAGTAATTTACCCATGTATGTTATGGACCAGGTAGCTCTAACAGGTAATTTTTAAGATGCACCCATGATACCTTCGGCAGATTTGTCATTTCTTTGAAGAACAATTGCTCTTTCTTTTCACACATCGGATCAGGAAGGTATGTCGATCCCGTATAAGCAAAATTTCAGGAGGTACCATGGTTAGTCCTCCGCGGTGAGAATTTTTAAGAATGCGCTACTCACTGTGGCTCCTCAAAAACAAGCAAAAACAATAGCCAACCGCAAGCAACATACTCCCCCCAAAAGTTTGGCAGCGTTTGTTTTCGTTTACCTCCGCACACCCTGTGTACAGAATGTTCCCAGCAATCCTTTCAAAGCAGCGAAGGGCACTGCACATTTTGCGAAAGGTCTAATAGCATCTGACCTCACAGAATGACGACAATTTTTAACTTGAATTAGTTTCATGAAAGCTTTTTGGCTAACATATCTTTTTTCCTCCTGCGGTTCGCACCTGCCTCTTTGCTGCTCGTACAAGAGAGGTGCCCAAGTGGGCTCAAAGATGTGGACGAATTCGAGGCTCACCTGCCCGCACATTTTCTTCGCTCTGCCCAACGTACATGTTGATCAGCTCAGGACCCTTGACACTGCACAGAGACACCATTTTTTTTTTATGTGCTGGGAGAGCTTAGCTACGTTTTTACATTCCACCAGGTTGCTATTCTAAGAGGCACACCCAAACCATCCATTCCTGCTCCATGCGCAATACCCAAGGAAAACTGCAACATTCCGGGTGAAAAAGTGACACTGACACCACAAAAAATAATTTTTCATACAAAGCTTGGGTTATTCACCATCATCCCTTTTGGCCAAAGAAAGAAAAAAAGAGTTCTCCAGCAATAAATTTCTAGTGGGGGAAAAAAAATTTGAATAGCAAAGACTACTTTTTCTTGATTGTTGATCTGTTACTGGCCATGCTTCCGAAGAAATCTAGGCATGAAAAAATGCATTGTCAGTAGCTTTAAACCCTAGTCACAACCTATTCAAAAACACTCAGATTCTAGAAGAAGGATTGTGTGATATTTTACTGATAAAAAAAAAGAGTACTAGTGTTGTGCGAAGAAATCTTTGAAAAGTAGTTATGAATAATACACTATTTGATATTTGCTTCGAGATGACCTGCGATATTAATATTTTTCTAAGTGTTGACCGCAACGGGTTACCCTGTTGAGTGCGCTTTTTACCAAGCACAGGTGCACTGTGGGGAAGTACCACCCAAGGAGCTTCCACGGGTGGTGCTTTTCTGCAGTGAAAACCCGCCGCGATCAACACTTGGAAAAGTATGAATATCGCAATAGAGTGCTTGGGAGAAAAGCACAATTTCAAAGCAGGATGGTGCTTGCATGTGCCTGTTGTGTTTAAAACTAGACTGAAACTTCGTGAATTTTAATATCTACATTGCAGTAAAATGTTTAAAATTAAGCTATGGCTGGTAGGTAGAGTATATGTTAGGCAGAGATGTCCTCACAACCTGCATTCATTATTCTTGATTATTAGGGGCGAAGCTCCTTAGGGGCTAGCCATGTCCATATGTCCGTCCGATGTCCGGCGTCAAGTGCTCGTGCTCATGTAGGGAAAAAAAAAAAAAACGCATCTCCACGTGGTGAATGGTGTTGATTGGGGCGAAGCTCTGGTGGTGCTTGTCTGCGTAGACGCTGAGCCGCAGCATGCCGAGCCTTTCGTTCGTTTTCATCCATGTCAGAAAGAGAATGTGTGGTATGGAACGTGGTTATATACCCATTTGAGCATTTGACCGCAGCGTGACATGGATGAAAACGAACGAAAGGCTCAATATGCTGCGGCTCAGCGTCTATGCAGACAAGCACCACCATGAGCTTCGGCCCAATCAACATCATTCACCACGTAGAGATACGCTTTTTTTTTGTTTTTTTTTGCAGTTCCAGTTTGACGAAAAAATATTTGCATATAGCAATTGTAAATCTACTCAATTAGGTATAGCTGGGCATCTCTAAAGGTTTACTTTTATGTCAAATTCATCATTTACTTTCCATCCCAAGGCATCGGACCTTCTGAGGTCACAGTTCATAAATATAAGATTAAGAAAATAAAGATCATTGATAAGTGCACCACTCAGGAGATATTAAGCTCTTGGTGGGTCATTCAAAATAAAAACAAAACAAAATTAGCGTATAAATGGATAAGTGGAAGCTTGGAAACAACCTTCACAAGTCTAGCTTACTTTTCGTTCAAGCATGGTGCAACAGTAGTGAAAGGCTTGGAGAAACTATTTAATATAGTAAACTTTCGTTAATTCGACTTTGACGGGACCTTGAAATTTGGTCAAATTATCCGAATGATCGAATTAGAAAAAGGACAGAAAAACGGTTAAAATTAGACACCGTTTAATTTTTCAAAGCACTCACGGATGGACTGCTGCCGTCTGCGCTTAAAACGCGTGTCCAAAAGCATGCTCCGAAGAGCAGCGTAACTAAACATCACACCCCCCAAAAAACACAAACTACAAAAAAAAAAAAAAAAGGTTTTTTAGAGTTGACTTTGGCACCGGGAAGCCAGACCGTCGGCGACAAAGAAAAAAAAACAACAACAAGAAAAGAAAACGAGAACCCGCACTTTCCGGCGCGCAAATGGACCGCACACGATGCTACAGGAAAGTGCCTTGAGCGCGCACGCCGAGAAAGCATTACGAGCCGACTTCGGCGCCGAGCAACCAGACTGTCGGCGTCAGAAAAAAAAAAAATAACAAAAAAAAAAAAGAAAAGAAAACTCGCGCTTTCCGGCGCGCAAGATGGACCGCGCACGATGCTACAGAAAAGCGCTTTGAGAGCGCGCGCTGTCTCCGCGCCCAACCACGTGCTATGTTTTCCGCGCTACTCCACGCCAGATTGGTTGCGATGGCTCGTGTCATTAGCTACGGTCCATCTCAACGGCGTAGCGGAGCAGGCGCATATTTGCGCACGTTCGTCTTTGCAGCAAAGGGTCGGAGTTTTCCCGTAGGTTGGTAGTTATTCTGCCGTGGTGCCGTGCAATGTGAGCTCTGCCGCGCGCATTCGCTCTAGACGAATTATCCGATGCAGCGTCTTCCCCAGTTCAAACTATCAAACTTTTCCTCCCATAGAAATGTATGGGCGCTCGCCGGGACTTTTGAACACGATCGAATTAAACGAAAAGTCGAATTAACCGAGGTCAAACTAACGAGAGTTTACTGTATTCGATTAGAAAATACAGTCGCCAACCGATTTTTCGGACGTTTTCGCCAAACTGTCACTTACCCCATAGAGTTAATGTATAACATTGACCGAAATTCAGGATGCCATAAAGCTTACTGCTCAATGTTTTGGACATAATTTGTGTAATTTCCTCAGTTTACAACCACAAAACAGCCGCCGCAATAGCGCCGCGAGCTTAGTCGCAGCCATCTCGGTTGTTTTGATTTTGCCCTGTAGCCTCGATACCACGTCCTACGCAATAAACAAACTGGGTTGAGGCTATAGTCAAGTTTTCCAGTTTCACTATAGCCAACATGGCCGCCATCTGTCCATTCTTATGGTTCTTCCAGTTCTTTTCGTGGTCTGTGTTTTTCGAGTGCGAGCGCGAGAAGAGTGGCCGTCTGCCGTTCTTGCGGTCTTTGAGCGTGAAGGTTTTTGGCCGATAGGCTTAGTATTGAAGCAAACTTGGTGGACTAAACGTTGTCTCCAAATAGTGCCAAATGGCATTAACTTCATCTTCGCTGTTTGTGCCAACAAAGGCACCGACAAAACACGGCACCGAGATCAAACTGATAAACAAACAAGTGAAAAGTAAACAATATAAAGCGGAAGTTGCACGAAAACTTAAAATTGACATCAAACGAGTGGAAAGTGGCCAATACGCAGCGGAAGCTGCACGGAAATTTGATGTTTTGGCTGAAATCGATTTTTCAGACCACCTGATTATTCGGACAATTTCGGGGTCCCCTCCGAATCCAAAAATCGGTCAATGACTGTATTCAGCGAAAACCACCTTTCGCTTCAAACTCGAAATCTACTATTCGCACATGACTAAAGAGTACCATAGGATATACGCAGTCAGTGTGTAGCCCACAATAGTCTGTTCTGAGTAGGCTCTACTGTGTGCCCCGGATCCAAGCTGTCCTCACCTGAGGAAACTGAGCGAGCACTCGGTGGCCACTGCCTTGGCCAGCAGCGTCTTGCCCGTGCCCGGGGGTCCATACAGCAGCACACCTGTGGCACGGGGAAGCACATCGGCATATAAATTCCGAACGAGTGTGCAGTGTGCATTCTCTTCTCAAATCTCAGTTCCTTAGGCACTTTCCCAATGTGTGGGTGTAGTTGCCCCAGCTAGTGGCATACGTACTACTGGCAGAACAAGAGCTACCCTAGCAAAAATTCCAATAGATATTTTTATTGGACCAATACAAATTCCTATTGGTATGGCAGTGGACCGAAGCTTGCAGGCTAGCTGGTAGAGCCAACAGACTGAAATTAACATCGAACAATGTAATTTGCACATCGTGTCCATGTGAACCCGCGGAGCCGACAGTGCAAGCAGGCTGCAATGCTCACGAGGCTGCCGTTTGATTTATCTTGCCGGCATGCATCGCCAAATAGTGCTTGTGACCGCTTACGACGAGAAATCACACCGGTGCCGTCTATCAGGTAACTTTGAAACACCTCCGGTCAGCGTATATTTAATGCAACATTCTCCTGTCGTGCGCTCGAAATAATTCTGACAACATTATAGGGGACCATTTCTCCTAGGCTATGTGTAGGTTTGATCTCTCAAATACTGCAAAACCCTCAGGTCTAGTTATACGCGGATAGGCGTTCAAGGGCCATCGGACAAATAGCCTCAGTTAGTTCTCTCGTAAGCGGTCACAAGTGGCCACAATGCACTCGGTCACATGACTTAAATGTGTGGACCGGCCATTATGCGGCTAGTGTGATCGAGTGTGGCCGAGTGAGTTTCTAGGTGAATCTGACGTGGCGTGCCCGCCCAATGCTACCTAGAAGACAACACCTGAATCCGACATCATCGTTAATGGATCTCTGGTCCGCCACAAGCGGCAAACACGCTGAAGGTCGACGAAAGTTGCTGCAAGGCGGCAGACGCTTCAGTTTCGGCACCGCCACATGCCAGCGTTGTGCTCGTTGCAAGACGTGGTGAGACGCGTTGACGGCAACGCTGACACGAGGTAGATGGCGCTGCGTGGATTCGCTAATGATGACGCTTGGAGAGAAAAGAAACAGGCCTTGTCTTGTAGGTGGTATTGGCTCACCGGAGCGCTTGAGTCCCGCCTCGAGGAGCTGCGGGTGCTGCAGGGGCAGCTGCAAGGTGTCGGTGAGCAGGCGCTTGGCGTCCCCCAGGCCCCCGACGTCGTGCCAGTGCACGGTGGGGATGCGGGGGGCTCCCACCGCGTGCGCCTGGCTGCCCTGGAGCCCCTCCAGGGCAGCCTGCAGGTCGCACTGCAGCAGCTGGGGCCCAGACAGGCACAGGGAGGGCCCCTGCCTACACACACAAAGGTGAAGCAGGGGAAACCATGCAACATGTTCACTTTGGATAACTAGAGCTTTATTTATCTTCTACCCCTTTAGTGGCATTACAATGTGCTTATATATATTTCCTGCCTTAGGTAATACACAGGGTCCCTTAGGGTAGAATAACTCTTCACATATTCATAGAGATAAAAGCGAGTACTACTTTCTGTTTACACATGCTAGCTTGAAGAAGAAACAAAAAAGTTAAATGACAGACATTTTTTCTTCCCCAACTTCATTTTTCTCCTAAATGTGAACAGCCAGACAGAATGTGATGTGCCGAGCATTGCAATTAGTTCATGATAGTAGGTCCTGAAATGGCATGCACTCCAGTGCTCCTTTTCTTCCAGTAAAAAGGTTTTAGGCTGGTCCCGAAGTCCTCGAAGAGCACTCACCGCAATGACCTGAGCCTGGCGTAGGCCTCCTTGGTCCCTTGGGCAACCAGGGCCGACAAGTCGCCCAGCGCAAACCCCTGGACAAACGAGAAACACCTCTAGAGGCCTTGCTTCAGGTGCTTTTATGTTTCCATTCGCAGACAATATACATCACTACAGAAGGTGTGGAGGAGGTAACACAGGCATCCTTTAGCCGGCGGGATGACGCGGACGCTTATCCGTCACTCCTTTCGGAATGGAGAAGTTGGATCACTTACGGCGGTCCTCTGCCCAAGGTACGACACGTCCACGGAGCTGCTCTTGGGCGAAGCGCACAACAGGGCATCCAGGATTTCCACCCTGGCCTCCTCGTTCGGGTACTGGAGGACAGAGACAAAGACTACTGTAGTCTTGCGCAAGGACAACCTACAGCATTGGCCGTTAAGCCCATCCAGGCAAGTATGTACAAGGACCATTCCATTACGCCCATCCGTAAAAGCACGGGGACCATCCAAACACTCGAAGCATCAGTACCAGTTCTTTTCACATGGCTATCCCCAACCTGCCATAAACAGCAAAAGGATTATACACTTATCAGATCGTATCATTCATGTTGTCAAACTCACTATGAAGAATAGCTAGGTTTGTAGAGTGAAGGGAGTTGAGTATGATGGCGTTTTCAAGATGACTGTTTGAACTGGCTTCAAGTCAGAGAGCCCAGATTTAAGACAGGGGGCAGCCAGAACCACAGAGTGTTTGCTATTTAATACCACACACTTTCTGTGCAGATCGACTCTGTGTGCACAAGCGTGCTTTGTTGCATGGCAAGGAGGATCGATAGTGAGTGGGGAGGTGGAGAGAAGGTCGGGGATGCATTAGGACAATCCACGCTTCCACGTCCCCCTCGCACCATGTATTGCAAACGTGGCCCATAAACCGTGTGGTCCCAATCAAGCAGTTGGAAGCACTCTCAAATCTTGGCACACTACTTTAGATGTGAGGGCTTCTGCAGTCCAAGCCCCACCTCTTGTTTCTTCCTAAAAATATTCACTATTGACACACATCCTTCAATCATAAACACTATTCAGCAATTTGAAACTTTTCAGCTGCCCACACCATACTAAATCCTCAGAGCTCAAAATTCATCTGTCACGCATCAAAGTACCTGTTCGATTGCAAGAGAGCATGTGGACTGGATTCCCGCCAAGCAGAGGACAGTCACGGGGAGGTGGAGTTGCTTACCGGAATGGCCACGTGGTGCAGGAAGAGGCTCGCCAGGTCCGGGTGGAGGTCGTCCGGGGAGCTTGTGCTTGCCAGCAGCAGTACGGGCAGCTCCTCCGGGTCCCCGTTCAGGGAGCGTGCAACCTCCCCAAAGAGACGCACCACACGGGGCTCTGGACAAGAAAATCGAGGCACTCCTTTGATCTACTGCTGAAATGTCCCATTAGATCCGCAAGTTTGGGCAATTTTACCGCTTGATGTCATGTGACACCGCGACGTGACCTAGTACGTGCTGATACGTGTCACATGATCACGTGACCCATGGTGGCACGGGTCGCCCTTTTCAAAAGTTGACTGAGGAACGGAAAATCGAAAGCAGGGCTTTCTTTTATTTTGCTGTCGTTTAAACCGTCGAGTTGGTCAAGTCAAGTGATAATACAACGATGGGAAGCCGTGGAACTTGCAAGGGGTGGAAGTGGACGGGGCCAGCGTTGGACCGTTGGACGAAATGATAGAACTGCTGTGAACGAACGAAGGAAGTTGGAGGAAGCCGTGACTTGGAAAGTATTGATACATACTACTGTTACTGGACAATTGCACAGTGGCGTTCGTAAAAATTGTTGTATCGGTTGTACCATAAAGTCCCGCAGCACCGCAAACCTTCATGGTACAGAATGTTGCCTTTCTGTGGTGCCGCAGCTCTCCTGAGCCAAATTAAGATATTTTCTTTTTATCACTATTAATAATAATAATATCAAAATTATTGTTAATATTATTATGTTTTGGATGGGCCGTGTATCACTACTGTGTAATGCATGCTAAAGACTCCAAGCAAGTGGTTGTACTGCACTGGCTAAATTTCTCAGCTACAGCTGAGACACCTGTACCCACCTAGGCTGACTAACTGCTGGGCATACACAGAGTTATTTAGCTCATTGCATGCACAAGCCAAAACTGCAGAGGCACTAAGGGTATGTTGGTTGATTTCTTGGAATTAGCGAATTTGACTGTCGGGGTGACCATGCAGAAAAAATAATGAACATATAAAAAAAGGGAAGGTACACACAGACAGCTCATTTTTGTGGTGCAGCTGTGTGCTTCGAGACCTTGCATTTATTTTATTCAGCTCGGAGAGCCTGTTTTTTTGTTTTAATCAGACAATGTTAGCGGCTGATAGAAGAATGATTTAGTTTTCACAATAAAAATGAGCACAGCTTGACGCTTTCTTGATCTGCTACAATTGGTGATTCCCCTACGCACCCCCTAAGGGGGGTGTAAACCCCCTCTTGTTTCTCTGAAAGCACCCCCTTAATTCGCAACAACTCCTCCATTCTCAATGCCCCCCCTTAAAAATTTGGACACCCCCCCTAATGTCAATTTCTGGGGAAAGCACTGCTTACAATGCACAAAAAAAGCAACAAGAGAAAAGACACACAGAAGTATCGGCTATAAAAAAATATTGTAAATTCATTGTCTTCAATTTATTAGACAATTTAAAAGGACATTACTTTGTTTTTTGCTGCTTTTTTTATTTTTATTTAGTCTGGTAGATATTGACCACCACAAAATCGCAGGTGAGTTTCAAGGGTGGCCTTCGATTCCACAAAGCCAGTCAATGTAACACCTTGCCTTTTAGATTCTTGATGTGCTTATGCAGAATCTCCTCCTCAGTAGCATCAGAACCTCTTAAAAGTGGAGCCTTGCCTCCGTGAGCAGTCCCTGCTCTTGTTACGCCAAAAGTAACTCATACAAAACGAAAACTTCCGGCTCTGCCATGTAGCATGGGACCATACAGGAGAAGCAAAGCCTTGGGGATATTATGCAATCTCCCACCCTTTTTAAATTGACCGATGCAGGTATTTGATTTAAAAAATCATTTTAAGAATTCAATTTCTGCAAAGTGCACTAAAACAAGCAAAAAGAAACAAAAATCAAATTGATGAAAAGTAAAAAGACGACAAGCTAGAAAAGGTGGTGCAAGCTGCCGCCCCCATACTGAGGGCCACTACTCTCCATTTATCGATCCAAGTTATCTCATCATGATGGCTCCGCTTCCGTCCCCCAACGCACCTCCGAAAAGGGCAAACCTGGTGGCACCAGCCACATGAACATAAAGGCACCGACCATGTGACACATAGTGGCACCCCGCTCGGTATGAATATGGCGACCACGACAGCTACAGTAACACAACGCAAGTACCAACTTCGGTTCCGTTAAAATGCATTCTGTATTAAAACAAAAACATTCCTCAATTTTCCACCATGACCGTGCTCTGATTTGGGCCAAGCCAAAAATCTGACGCATGGCTCGCGCACTGGCGGCACCAATTGGTTGTAAACCTGGCTGCCTTTGGGCTCTGCCCTCAGCAAGCATACATACTCTGAAAACACAAACACCAGAGACCGGATTTCCACCCCGGCTCAAAACTTTTAGCATGCATCTCAATGGTATGCGCCCCAAAATTACCTTCATCTCTCATTCGTGGCGTATCACATAAAACAGCGTCCACACAGTTTACTCTGCAACAACACACGACAGGCTACCGATGCACTCGTTCCAGATACCGTAAAGTCCCGTGTGAATGCCTGCCCCCGAGAGACTTGCCATCCCGTTTTATGGGCTGAATAATGTAATCCTAAACATTGCATGCCCCCGATTCACGCCAGATATTTATCATGTGATGCCCGACAAGAATCACATTTCCGTTGGACCGAGCTTCACGATCTGCAGTATCGGTACTTGTGACAAGCATATTCGCCACGGGTTCCCTCATGTTTATCGCACCGTGACACGCGAATCTGCTGTGTCTGCAACGTGCGGTATCCGTTCCCCTGACATGCAAGTTCGTAACCCGTTCCCACGTTTTTGTGGTTTATTTTTGTCCATATTTTTGCACATTGACACTGGTTCCCATGATGCGCCGGTTTGTGGCGGTTTCCCGTGTTATTGCACGGAAAACGCAAATCTGCTACGTCCGCCATCTGCAGTATCTGTTCCCATGACATAAAAGTTCAAACAGGTTCCCGCGCCTTTGTCCACGATGTGCGCGCGCGATATCGGTTTTTGCGTCACTCGAGTTTGCAATATCTGTTCCTGCGACAGGGGAGTTCTTAGCGAATTCCCGCATACTTATCGCACCGTGGAATGTAAATTTCCGTGTCAGTGATCTGCAGTTTCAGTTCCTGTTTCACATAGCTTAAGGTGGCCCCCTTTCCATGCTTATCACCAATCTTTCATAAAATATTGCTGTTGCATCTTCAAAGGTCGACCACCCTATAGTATAGACCACTTACAACGTAACCGCTTATAGTGCAGGACCGGGTATAACGCGGTTTTTTTAAACCACCGGTTCGCCTCCCATAGAACTCCATGTAATTACATACCGCTTAAAATGCAGGCGCGCGAAGGGAAATACCGGTTATAGTGCGGTTTCTGGCACAGCCCGCCGACCGCGCCGACGACCGGAGCGGCGAGCACGCTTCCCTGTGCGGCACTAGATAACGGCGCGAGCCGCAAACGGCACTCGCGGGGCAAGGAGGTTGCTCGGAGAAGAGAAGAGAGAGGCTTCATTTGCCATAGCGACGGAAGGACGCACGCACGTGTCGTTCATGTGCGTGCGTCCCTCCGCTGCGTTGGAAACAAACAACCGAAACGACAGACCAATCGCAGGTCGAGAAGTGTTCGCGCGCGTTGCATGCCAATCGCGGGCCGGCGGCTTCTGTCCGCAAACATGGCGTCGGTTGTGGCGTTCATCTCATCGTTCCGCGTAAAAACGCTATCCTTGACAGTGAATTTTCGTTGTGTGTCGCTATGATAACCCAGCACGTACTAGAAGGGAAGATCCACCTACTCGTGCGGCGATGTGGCGGCGCTCTCAAGACGGCAGAAACGCCCGTGTCGTCATGTTTGTTTACTTCGGCTAAAGTGGTGCTTTCTAAGCATTTGTGTTTTCGAACATCGCCCGGATTTCTTATTTGGAGCATTTCATGCCTGTGCTCAAGTTCAAGGTATTTTTCTGGCGCGTACCATAGGAAGGATGCGAATTTTCACGCGTTTTCATCTCCGGAGAAAAGTGATTAGGGTTAGCAATCCTGAACGCTCGCAACGTCCGTCCGCAACCCGCGACGCCGTTAAAAGGCTGCGCCAGGCAAAAGCCGCTTATTTCTTTCAAAATGTGTGACACACTTGAGAGAGATGTGTACTAGTCTGGTGAAATAAAGACTTTTCTCAAACTAAGCTTTATTTTTCATCTAACATAAAATAAATTCTTTTACAAAGGTAGGTTGTCTCATGGCATGTATTTTGGCCTAAAAAATTGATGTTTTGGTTATAACGAGGTACCGCTTATAGTGCGGATTTTCGCGACTCCCGCGACATACGTTATATGCGGTCTACCCGTTCATCATTTATCTTTTCATTGTAAGTGGAGTGTTCTTTCGGGACTTTACGGTAGTGCACTAAGAATTTATTTTAAGCGATTTTCACTGCGCATCTCCAAGCAATGTTTCATCAACAGGTGCTCGTGATTGGCTCACCTCCTCCAGATCCCAGCTCCTTCCCCTGTCCGAGCAGCTGAATGTTCACAAGGTGCATCATGCACGGGGTGTAGTAGCTGGCTGAAATGGAAGACACCTGGCTTGCACCAGCACTCGGGCAACACCCCCCTGCCAAGCGTCACCTTTTTGCAGGGAAGCCTTGATCCGGGCCTCCGTGGAAGCTGCCGTGTCCCCGATCAAATCCTGACAATTGACCTGCAGAGCGGATAACGTTTCAGTCCAGTCTGAACTGCTACCAGATATCACAGACGGTGATACCCCATTCTACGCAATTAATGTGAACGTTTTCTGCGATATGTCACGAGACGGTATACGTAAGCCTTTGAAAGGAACAGTAAATAAGTTTTCTTAAGTTGCCCATGTGGTTCACATAAAAATCTCTAAGCTGGGTATGCAAAGTGCTCGTGCAGGCTGAGGTGCCGTCTAGTTCAAGGGTCCAACCAAAGGGAAGACTGCAAGATCCGGAGTCTCAGCGACTTGCCTGGTAGAGGTGCATGCCCAAGCAGCGGCACAATGCTGCCACAGTGGTGGACTTTCCAGAGCCAGGAGCTCCGCTGAGCAGCAGGCAGGGGGCAACCCGCCTCCGTAGGGACCTGATGCAGAGAACGGTACAAGGGCATTGTCAACTGAAACCTCCAGCCACGAACAGATGTCATGCACAAATATATACATACTCGACACAATTCCGAGAGCAAAGTTCGGTGACGTTTGTGTAACACACTCCCCGGACCAGACGCTTTTGAACTTTCCAATTTCGAGGAATGTAAATGAGTGACAGTTTAGGAACCCCTCCCCTTCTTGGCATTGCTACACAGTAGGCTCGCGATAATTCAAACTTGGATATTTCATACTTCTGGTTCATTCAAACCAATTTCAAAATTTCGATTGTCCCACTATGTTTTTAATGTATTCATAAGCTGCTTAATTTGAATGCCGTTTTCGTGTACTTTTTGTTCTTGCGGCCCCGTTGAGTGCACTTCTTTCCCAGCACCGGTGCACTGCAGAGAGGCAACCGCGGAGCTTGCTTCTGCGGGTGTTGCTTCCCCGCAGTGCATCGGTGCTCGCTGAGAAGCGCGCTCAACGGGGGTCAAACAGGGCACAAGCAACGAAAACGGGCACCATGCGGAAATTTCCATAGCGACTTGAGCGGACGCTGTGACGTGGCGGCTTGGCATAGGTCCACGTCAAAGCATCCACGCAAGTTGTTATGAAAACTGCCACGCGGTGCCCGTTCTCATCGCTCACGTGTCCCTTGCTTGATAGTTCATGTTAGGCAACTTCTTGGCCTGATGAACAAACTAAGTTTTGTTTTGAGTTGTCATGTGCTGTCTAAAAGTCCATGATAAGAAATATTTTTGAGGGATAAGTAAACTTATGTCATACATTTCACAAAAGTTTCTTGTGTGGCATACCTGCTTATGATCAGTAGGCCTATGTAGAGGAAATCATCAAATATCTGCTTTGTATGTGTAGCCTCTTATATATGGCAAATCATAATTTTATCTTGCATCATGTTTAGATTACTTTCTGATAACTCAAACTTCTGATAATTCAAGAAAAATTCGTGGCTTCTTGGAGTTTGAATTATTGAATCTACTGTATAGTGCAGAGGCCAACAAACTTTGTTCACAATGACACATACACTATACTTCATTTCAAATTACATCCAGCCACAGTGGACGCTACAAGCTAAGCATGTGTGAATGGTGGATTTTTAGTTTGAAGCAAATTCAAAGTGAATAGTAGTGGTTTTGGTCGAATACTATTTTTGAATAGAATAGAGGATAATTTCTCCAAGCCTTTCACTATTGGCACCATGCTTAAACTAAACTTCAGCTGAACTCGTGCAGGTTGTTTATTACCTTCCACTTTGTCCACTTCTAAGCTCAGTTGATTTTCAGATAACTGCATTATAACTGACACATGGATGACTAATTTGTCATAGTTACCCTAATCTAGGGAATTTATAAATCTGCTAGCTAAATGCAAATATTCTTTTCTCTATTTATAATTTTACAAAAAAACAACACAAGCACGAAAGATAAATGTGGGTTGTCAAGACATCGATGCCTAACAAACCCTAGATCCGTTGAGTGTGCTACACACCGAGCACATGTGCAGTGAGGGGAAGCAATATTTGCGAAGCCTGCAAGCTCCATGGGTATTTCTTCCCCGCACTGCACAGGTGCTCAGTGAGAAGCGCACTCAACGGATCTAACCCACCGCGATTAACTTTAAAAAGAATGAACATCGCAGTTCATCTCGAAACGATATTGAAGTGTATCACTCGAAACTACTATTAGAAAATTTAAATATCTGCACAACCCTAGGCGAAGTACAATGTCTTCACAGCATTCTTGAAGCAACGTAATAAAAAATGAAAGACATTTACAATTGTCTGTAATGCCGAATTGGAGCGCAGCTCTTGAAGAGGAGGAGGGGAGGGTACAGAAGGGAGGGCATGCCCCTCCTCCCTTTCCCATCCTCCTCTCCGTCTAATTAGTGGAAAATTTTAGCTAAATTTCCCGCCAAACTTAGCGGGAAAAATTCCTGCTAAATTTAGAGGGGAAATTTTTCCGCTAAATTGACATATAACGCACATTTGACGTCACGCCAATTTCACGTGTGACGTCATGTGCCACGTCATTATGGGAAACGTCCTGCTAAATTTAGTGGAAACATTTCCCGCTCAATTTAGCAAAACATTTTCTCACCATATTTAGTAGAAAACTTTTACCCTCGTGACGTCACACGTGATGTCATCATGCGAAAATTTTCCCGCCGAACGTAGTGAGAAAATTTTACCCTTGTGACGTCACGTGTGACCTCATTACGGAAAACGTCCCACAATGCAATGCACAATTATGCCGACGCCGCTCAACACGGAAACAGGTGCCTAAAGGCTGCATTCTAAAAGGGGCCTTTTGCAGAAAAGGTAAACAAAGGAAGTGTTCACCCCGTTTATTAAGTTGCTTTCTCGAAGCAACATAATAAACAGAAGCCCCTAGCCTTCTGCAAGAAAAGGTGAACAAACTCGATGGCACAGCCCCACTAAGTTGGTGCAACAAACCCACTGGGACCGAAACTGTACAATTGTGTTTCCTGAATATCGATCCCGTTAATATCAATGCGTCGCTAAAAAGACAAAATTTTGGGGAACGAACTGGGTGAACACGTGCTTTTTTGTCTCATTATCACGAATGACACATTATGGACAATTTTTTGGCGGAGCAAAGATATCCATATTGAAGAGACACGACTGCATCTTAGCCACGACTTAGGTAAAAGTGGATTCTCACGGGCGTAGCAAAAAGGGCATGAGCAGGGACTGCAGTCGCTCCACGCAGGGTCCCAGGTGCGGGGGCAGGGGGCAGTCCCACACCGGGTGCGGAGGGCCCCGGCCGGCGTACGCCTCCATCGTCGACGGCACGTAGCTGCGCGTGGTGCCGGCCTGCAAGTTCCCATTGTACCGAATTCACCCCTCATATCAGCTTCCGCTCAAAACATACCCGGAGTTCTCCCCAGAAATTTTTTAGATGTAAACATCTGACAATTTCTAGGGTATTGCGAAGGAGGAGGAGGGGGCAAGTACCGCAATTCTTGGTGTTCTCGGCACTTTCTTTGCCACGCAGCAGAGGTTAGTTCCGTCGTGTAGTGGCACGCATATCTGCCAAACACAACAATCTGGGGAATCGTGCATTCTCAAATTCAGCATCATGCTGTCCAGTGGAGACAAAAAATAGAGGTGGACTGGACACAGACTAAGGCGGTCAGCCAGACTTGTGGGTGGCAAAAACCACTGCTGCCCAGTGTGGGGACAACCCTGAACGCACCCATTCAGTGTAATTTCTGATTGGACGACGACGCTGCATTTAAGAGGCTGGCCCTGTTGGGTCAGAGATGCAGCAAATGTCGATATAAAACCTTTCTTATATTTTTTTTCTGGATTCACTTATGATCAAGTTTGGAGAGCAAACAGCCCGACATTCGTTTAGGAATTGCTAATGGCCATCAATCTGATGGCTGGTTTCGTGTCCCATCAGCAGACAAAAAATCCGAGGTGCCACTGGGGACTGCGGTTATAGAGACGCTGTTGTGGGACCGGCTGTGCAGGCAGTGCGCTACCTATAGTTCGTTGCAGGTTAAGAATAGCGAAACAAGCTCCTCCCCCAAACCCTTAAACTCCTTCTACTTTAACAAAGCAAACACTGGAGAGGAGGAACCCGCCAACATAGCTAGCAGAGTGTTTTGCGGGAGGGGATTGTCCTGCTATATTTAACCTCTAGTTGGCCAGGAGCGGCATGATGAGGGAGTTGCCGACCTGGTACAGGCGACTGTGGTCACGGTGGCACAAGAACCCCGGGGCGTCTGAAGGACCTCGCATCTGGGTCACTCGGAAGAACGCCACGGCACTCCTGGGAGGAAGAGGAGTAGGAGAGGGCAGAGGGGGCCGCAGGAAGCGGATTCCTCATAAATGTGCCGAAACAGGTCCGAGTTTCGCTTCGCAGAGATGCATGGATTTAGTATGGATGCGGAATTTCAATTAATCTCTCTGAATAAGCTGGACAGAGACAGACTGGCCAAAAGAAAGAGCAAAAAAAGAGCCGTTCCACTACTGCAACCATTTGCTGGTGGTTTGTGCCCATCAGCCATTATTAATTAACAAAGAAAAGGTATTCTAAAAACAAAAACCAAACGCTTCATCTTCTGGCGTTCCCGCACGTTCACGGTGTTTTTAGAAAATATACCAAAAAAACTGTAGTGCAACCAAAAGGCAAAAACAAAGGAACATCTTGTAGCATCGTTAGAAGCAGTGTGTCGAACCGAAAAAAATACGGGTTCGGTTACGGTTCAGGTTCAGGTAAATTTATTTTGTTCCGGTTCAGTTCCGGTTCGATTAATTCGATCCGCGAACCAGTTCGCGAACCGGTTCGGGGCGCTGAACCGGTTCGCGAACCGGTTCGGAAATTATAAATGACAAATTGCAACATCAAAATAAATTACAAATAAAACATCTGAAATCAGCACATACGAAACGGGATACATCGTAGTGTAAGGTTCAGGGATTTCTACCAGGAATGGTTTCTTTATGTGCACTCAAAGGTTACCTCACCGACGTTTACGCATTCGGACTTCATCTAATTGGGTCCGACGCAGTAGCTGTAAAATCCGCGATTTCCTTACAAACCCACTTACAAGTAGAACTCGCTAACTATCCCGCCACCTCGGCGTGTAAGCAATTGAAGGAACAGTGGGGAGAAAATACAGCTTTCTTTATTTGAACTAGCCTTCGGTAACTCAAATTAGACCTTTAAAGAAGTTTTCATTAAACAAGATACGGAATATAAAAAAAACACTTCACCAAACGCAACGCCACAAGGACGTAATAGGATAAATATTAAGATAGAAGAGTTCGCTGTCTCACAAATATGTTAGCTTCTGAGTGCCTATACGAAACCGGTTGCATTATTATCAAACTCCACAGCCTTTTCTTTTCTCATTCCGATGGAAGCAAGCTTCAAGAACTCGCGCGTTCTAGAAACGTGTTATGAAATGAGCACACAGCAGCATTTAGGGTTTACGAGATTGTAGAAAAATAAAATCCCGTGACGCGATTTTTTTTTTTTTTTTTTGCACGGTCTTTTCATTCTTTTTCTTCCGTGCAAGCCGCGACGAGCGCAATACTGGTTCCTATGTCAAGATTCATGGATGCAGCGTTTGTCAAGATTCATGGATGCAGCGTTTATATTCCTAAGACTGAGTGAAGAAGAAAAATATGCAAGCGAGGTGTGCGTCAGTTGACGGCACTTAAAAAACAAATGGCATTGATAGCACATTCATTGTCAACAGCGCGTGGCCGAACCGTTTTGACATGAGCCGGTAACCATTATTTTTTTTCCGGTTCAGTTCTGGTTCGGGTTCATCGCGATAACAATATAACGGTTCGGGTTCAGTACCGAAAAAATACCGGTTCGGTTCCGGTTTTCGGTTCGGTTCGGTTCCGGTTCGACACCCTGGTTAGAAGAAACAGTCTTTCCATACTGGCAATTGCATTTATTCCTTGGGACAATTCAGTAGCACACACACAACACACTCTTTTCTTTCTTTTTTTTGGGGGGGGGCTGTCAGAATAAGATGCTCTAATGGTACTTTCCCTGTACTTGTTACCTGCAAGCGGGATGCGGCAAGGCAAACGCTGACTGAGCATCTCAAAGAAGGAAGTGATCATTCTCACCTTTCTTGTGGTGCGTCTTCGGCAGATTCCGTCTGAGCAGCGACACCTGAGGGAGTGGTGAACACCGTTTGTGCATTCGCTGCTTTGATCTATCCTTACGCCACTACTTACCCCGCAAGCCAATGCTGACAATGTCGCCCTTGCACAGGTACCTGACGACAAAGCAACGCACACTCAGAAACACAACGGCATCAATTCGAGTTGTTCTTAAAGCTTCGGACACTCGCTAGCAATGACCTCATAACCTCAAAAGGGGACCTTGTCTATGTCTTTCCTCAAAGCAAGACCGCAGCAACTGTTTTTTTTTTTCTTTTAGCAAGCAGAAACAAAATGAAGGACTACACGACAGGACTGTTGACCTTACATGGGCAGCTATCCTCCCAGAAATTGCGATAGAATACATTTTTAGTTTTTGTAAAGTTGCATTCTTTAAGGTTCAGGATGTTGTTCAGGGTTCACGGTTCTTAACCAGACAGGGCTCGAGATCCAGTTGCTCCTTTGGATGGAAATGACGTGTCCTGCCCAAATAATGCTGGCAAGGCCATCTACATTTCAGGTAGACATCTCCTTCCAGGCGACGCAACAACAACAATCTCTTAGCCCCGAGCAAACTCCCTTTCTCGAGTGACAACGGAGTGGCAATTTCCTTGCTGCGGCAAAACATCCTTTCCTAGCAGCTCAGCCATTCCTGTCTCCACCTTTGAAAGAAACCGATCCTCACCTGGGTTGTGCGAAGTGCTGCTGCAACAGTGCCGCGCAGTGAAGCTGCACGCTGTAGCCCGGGCTGTGCACCATGGCAAGGTGGAACTCAGTGGCGTACGGTGGTGGCAGGGACTCTCCCGGCCCGGGACAGGTCTGCGCGTTCGAAGAATGCGCTGAAAAGCTGATAATCGCTAAAAAAAAGTGTTCCTGGGCCACCCGATAGATGGCGCCAGGGCATTATCTCGTCGTAGTCACTCGCAAGCTGATACAACATATTTTGTCAACCTCAAACACAAAGGCGAGCCTTTATAGCTTCTTCAGGAAAAAACTTAGTTTGTAAGTCCATCAGTGAAACACTGGCTGCCACCACAATGTTTCTAAAAGATTCCTTCGCAAGTTCTCCGTCTTGCCGATTTGACGTTGCAACAACTTCGCTGAAGTGGTGTTTCCTATCCTTCTGGCATTCTTTTCTTTCACTACAACCAACGTTACTAAAGGAAATCAGTTGGGAAGCTACCATAGACGACTGCCTCCTCGGAGAACTGGCTCCCAACCATACCCGAGTGCCAAGCTCGACAAGATCGTAGCGCCGCCGTCTCTGCCGCGGCGGCCGCTTCGGGAACTATATAAACTGGAACGGAAAAGATGAAAGAGTCACGCCGTCCCGCGGATTTCTTGCAAGCTGTCCAATCTATAAAGTGCACCAAACAAAAAACCAAAAATCTTACTTGTGCCTGCAAAGTGAACTTTTGCTCATCCCCTTGTCTCAAGACAGATAATGTACCGCCAACTAATCAACAAACTAACGGAACGAACTGACTGCCAAGTGGCGACACTGTAATCGAATCTGGGTGACGGTGGCTGGGTTTTGGTGGATGCGAGAGAACCGCATTCCGACAGTGAGTTTCCCAACCGAGTTTTTTAGTAACGTTGGCTGCGAGAGATGTACAGCCATGTAGGTATGTCTGGTCACTCTCGATTCCGACACAAACCAGTGGCACAGGCACAAAGCGCTCTCGGGAGCGTTCCACTCACGAGGGAGAGGAGCGCGCTGGGGCAGACGAGGACGCTCGGCTGCTCCTGTAGGTGGAACCACAGCTGGGGAGTGAGCAGCGCCACCTCCGCCGGTGAAGGGTCGGCCGACGCCCGAGGTGGCTGTCGGGGAGCTGGACACAACTTCTCCACGCAGCTCAGAGTCACTGCCCGCCTCCTGCCAACGCTACCGAGCCGCCCTCTCGAGTGGCGCCCTATCGTTTGTACGGCACAACTCGCCGTCACTGCTAGACGAACAGATGCTTCCGACTCTGCGGCAAATAAATGCGGATGACCTCGATGTCGGCACCTACTATTATAGTCACTCGCAAGGTGAGAACGGCAGGGAGGAGCTTCAGTTGTCCCGCTCCAGCGCGAGCTTCCTACGTTCAACAACACTTCAGTCTCGTGCACCACGAGCAAGTGCCGGCAGCCAAAGCATGGTGGAAGGCATGGAGCCTTCCAACATGCTGCAGGTTGGGCGTTCTCACTTTGTCAGTGACTATAAGGATGTAGAGAACTTTTGTAGGACCTGGAGGTTTGACTGGATCGGCGAACCTTTGAGCTTCTGGTGAAACTCAACGAAGTTCAGTTTGTGAACAGTGCTCCTCAACTTCTATGCAAACGATTTAAATTTTTTTAAAGTAATTTAAAGTAAAGTTGATTAACGGAGCAGTGTGGGCTAGTTGGTATTTCATGATTAAAAATTAAAAACAGCGTAAAGACACAGACAAGAACGAGAAGGTTCTTGTCCGTGCCTTTGCGCTGCTTTTAATTTTTAATTAAAATAGTTTGTTTTACACTTTAGAGAATTTGAAAGTCCATATCCTAAGGATGGATGGGTACATATTAGTGGCTGTACTTTTTATTATGGGTTTCTGCCCTAGCCTAAAAACTTAAAAGCATAATTTCCACCCTTCCAAGTCAATGTGCATTTCTGTAATTATCACCAGGGCCACAAGGGTGATTGCCAGGAAGACCTTTGGGAAATTGGGCGAAAAAACTAAAGGCATCACACCTCCCTCACCTCCTCCTCCCAGGGAGTCACCAATCTTCCTCTGGTCAATCCTCCCTGTCAGCATCACCTGAAAGGGGCACTAAAGTGAATTTTGAGATTGTCTTTTCATGTTGCAAACTATATCTATGCACCCTAAGCATCCTATAAAACCTAAAATTACCATCAAGCGTGGTCTTTCTCGCCTTTAAAAGCGCAATCAAACAATGCGACAGGCTTTTTTTTTAAGGAATTTAGAAAAAGGGACGTGTTGGAGTGTTTGGTCGCGTTTTTAAGGACAAAAAAGGCCACGCGGGATTGTAATTTCAGATTTGATAGGATGCTTAGGGTGCGTAAATTGAGTTTGCACCATAAAAAGACAATCTTAAAATCCACTTTGGTGTCCCTTTAACACTAAACCCACTGAGGGACAGCATTAAGATTTTGGGTCAGAGCCACGCGGGAGGGAGTCCCAATTTTCCTCTGTCCTGCATGCCCACCCCACCCCACCCCCACTGTGCTAGCTAGTTGCCCTTCGTTCAATTTTCCCTAGACAATATCCAACAGGAATCTAACCCCCTCTTTCTTGCCTCTACTCTACTATACTCCACTGAAACTGCTAAGAAAGCCAGCCGCACTTTAAATTTTCTTATTCGAAATTTACGCAGTGCTCCACAGAAACTAAGAGACTGCCTATTGCTGTTTGGTGAGACCTACACTGGAATACGCATGTGTTTTGTGGGATCCTGATCAAAAGTACCTTACAGATAAGTTAGAAAAACTTCAAAACCGTGCGGCGAGATTCATAACAGGAAATTATAGTAGGAACAATAGCGTAACAAACTAAAAATGTACTTGGTTGGGAAACTTTATTGTCAAGGCGCAAAGATTTTTGATTGAGGTTCTTGCTTGCAATTTTTAATGATATGACTGGTATTGATAAAAGCAACTACATAAAATTACCTAACTACATTTCAAATCGTGTGGATCATACCAGAAAAATAAGGGAAATTTCTTGTAGAACAGATTATAAGAAGTTTTCATTTTTTCCACGAGCAAACGCTCAGTGGAACCTGTTACCAAAGTCTTTTTTTATTCGTGACGACGTGGGACTATTGCTCTCAGGAAATGGTCTGGATTTTTAATTTTGTTTATGTTCAATGTTTATGTATTTTCTTTATTGACGGCCCAGGTTGTATATTCAAGTGTTCTGTTTTTATTTTATTGAGCGTATTAATCCATGGGCTGTACCTGCTATAATGCCGAAGTTTTTCGGCGCTGCAGGTTTTTTTTCTGTAAATAAAAATCGCCCCTTTCATCTTCTCTGGCAAAACCTAGAGCTCTAGGTACATCTGTTGCCCTTTCAAGAAGAGCAGGACTAAGCCCTTTGCATTTTGGAACAGACGCGGGGCATGGATGGATTGATGCTAATGGCTGTAGCCTTTATAACGGGCAGCAGCTTGTGCCACCTAGCCTAGATATTAAAAACCAAAAGTATGATTCTTCCCTTCGCCTTCCCAAGCCAACTTGCTTCCCCTCTGCAATTTTGTAACTATCACCAGACAGTGTGGGATATGACCAGGATGACCTATGGGGGATCGGGCAAAAAAGCCAAAAACATCACCCTCGCCTCTTTTTCCCCGCGAGGGAGTCGCCAATTTTTCTTCGGTCAAACCTGGTCAGCGTCACCCCAACACCGAGCCCACTGGGAGACGGGGTTGAGATTTTGGGCCAGAGCCACGCAAACGGGTGTCCCAGCAAGGTTCCCAGTGGTTACGGGTGGCCAGGTGGCCTGGCCGACACCCCTAGTGTTGCGCGAGTGAAGGCGGTGCCCACCTAGAAGAGGGTGCCCCCTGCAGCCGTGCCCACGCCCACGCTCCAGGGGCCAGCCCCAGGGTCGCCAGGGTAGCCCTGGACAGGAAGACCGAGTTGAGGGGGTCCGGGCCCTCCTCTCCCAGGAAGGGCAGCCAGGACGCCACATGAACTCCAAGTGACACCGACGTCTGAAACCAACCCCGACTCAGTGACGCCCCAACACCTAGAGCCACTATACATGACCTACGCTTCAAAGGGACAACACTTCAGCCACCTTGCTGCTTTAAATCATTACTGCCACATTATTTGAAGCTTCATCTGAAATCCTGGGAAATGCTTTTCCATCCTCCAGGAAAATAAAAATAATTTGCAATGGAGCAAAACGCCGTCAATCGAGTTTCCTGACATTGCCTAAAGCTCAGGGATTGCATCTTCAAATCGTAACTATCGCCAATGAGGAGAGCAAGTCGTCTGCTTCTTCCGCAGGAGTTGCAGTGACGTCAGCACGATGCCAAGCTCCGATTGTCTTTGATTGAAAGGATAGTTGGTAGACCTCAATGCTAGATGCCTTGTGCTCTATCCACTATTTTTCTCAATCAGCCAATAACGGCTCAGCGTTCTGGCAGCATGGCAACCTCTGTGCAAGAAGTAGACAAACTTCCGCTCTGCATTGCATCAATTCTGCAGTACAGTCGCTGACAGAGTGAAAACGGCAGGGCGTCAACACTCGGCCTCCAGCACAAGTTTCGTGCCAGGCTTCGGCTGCGCGCTTGAGGTGCAGGAGACGCTAAGACCCTGCCTTTCTGCCAACGTGTCTATGGAGCCTACGCTGGCACCTGCGAGTGGCGCAAACAAAGCCTGCCGGAGCCAGTCACGCCCGGAGTGTTCTCCCACCGGCGATTGGCTGCCGGCCCGCCTCCGGCCCAGGGATGGCAGCACCAGGTGGCCCGCGTAGCGCACCAGCCCCAGCATGGCTCCCAGGTCTTGCGATTGGCCCTCCAAGGGCCTGTGCACCACCAGCACCTGTTATCCACACAAGGCCAATCAGGCGACACGTGGCAAGCAGTCACACAAATATCATCTCATTCCGGAAAATACTGTAATGACTGTGCTCAAAATCAGCGTTAGCAGTAGCAGCAGGAAGTACCTTTCCTTACTACTCCGAGACGCATTGAACGACCTATGACAAGGTATTAGTGCATGGCTGTAGCAGATTACGAAAAACAGGACAAGGCCCTCCCACAAAGCTCTTTTCTTGCCATGATTGGTGGTTTTCTCCACTCCAGTATTAATTCTGCTAAAGCAGAAAGAGGGAAGGGCTTTGTAGGAGCAGCTTGTCCTACTTTTCTTAAAGGGGCACCGACACCCAAAGGTCTTTTTTTTTTATTGTCTAAAACGATGCACGTTGTAGTCGTAGACACACAAAAAAATACCACATCGCAAAAAAAAATTTTCCACACGCGCACACCTCTTTTTGTTTTTGCTGTTCTCCTCTCCCGCTCTTCGCCTCCTTGCTTCTTTTGATTGGTGACGTCAAAAATCATGAAATTTAGAAGCTTTATAGCTGACATTTCTATAACATTAAATAATGGCGATCGTAAAACATGCTTTTTAATGCAATTGCGAATGCACTACGGCCCTTCTTTTTGAAATATCGAAAATCGGAGTCGGTTGTGATGTCGCCTTCTGGATTTTTATCCTCCCTTGGAAAACACAGCGGCACTCGACGCATGTAGCAGAGGGTGATCGGTGAGTCGGGGAATCGGACGAAAGGGCCTTTTATAAGTGCCCAACGACCTCTCAGACTTCGAAAAGGAAACCGTCAAACGGTCAAAACAGCTGGGTTTGGTGTCTGTGTATCGTAGTTTCGGTTGTGACACCGCCGGGCCACCGTCGTCTGCTCGAAGCGATAGGCAGGACGGCACTCGCGCAGGAAACCGGTTTCCCAGTACGGTAGTTCCCACGACGCCGGCGCCCTTCTCTCCTCGCTTCGGGCTGCGGAGACGAGTTTTGGAGTGGGACGCGAAAGAAACTCAACTCTCAGGAGCCCTCAAAATTTGACGTCACTCCACTGGCGCGGATTGGGCAAGAACTTCAAATTCGGCATTTGGAAATTGTTTTTTTACTTCACAAATACTGAATTCCCAAGTTTCGAATTTTGAGGGTAATGTCCAGGCATCGTTTTCAATCTGGTTTCAAACAATAAACAAAAAAAAATATATGATTTTGATGTGTCAGTGCCCCTTTAATCTGCAACAGGCTATAGATTTCTACAGTCAACACGACACACAGGGCCTGAACATCCAAGAAAAAATATTCGGGACTTTAGTGACTCGGCATGAACCGCCTCCCACTAGAAGGCCAGAGCATATCTTGTTTTCTTGTTACTGATAAAAATTACAGGAGGATATTTACAACTGCTTAAGTGAAGGAAAGTGAAAGCATTATAGTCCCGCGGGTGAAATGTTTTCGAGTAATGTTTCTACATGTATTAAAGTTTAGGTTGACGTATAGGACAACATCGAGGAGAATGTCCTAGAGATCGATGCCAATATGGCATCTAGGGCAACCTCTAGGATGGCATCAAGGACGGCATCTAGGACGAGCTCCCGGACAACGTCTATGATGACTTCTAGGACAACCTCTAAGACAACCTTAAGGACGACATAGAGAACGACGTCTAGGACGACTTCTACGATGACCTGAAGGACGTCGAGAACGACGCCTAGAGGACGACCTCAAGGACAACGCCTAGAGGACGACGTCTAGTGAAAGTGAACTACTTTTCACCGCTCGAGTATGTTCCTGTCACCAGGTGGACACTGCAGCAACAAACTAAGAAGGACCCACTACCGCTTCGGACAATAAAATTTGCGAAACGAGGATGGCCTAAGAAAGTAGACGATCCACACTTAATTCCCTTCTTTCAGAGAAGAGATGCGTTGCCTACTGACCAGGACTGCTCGGTATAGGGGACGCAAGTGGTTATTCCAAAAGTTCTGCACGAGGTGATCATACGTCTTCTGCACAAAGGACAGCCAGGAGCATCTAAAATGAAGATGCTTGCAAGACAGCACATCTGGTGGAGTGGACTAGATGCTGCCAATTGAGAACCTGGTGCGAACTTGCAACGCAGAACAACGCCCCCCCCCCCCCCCCCCCACCCCCTAGTGTGCCTCTTCAACCTTGGCCGCTGTCTAATAGGGTGTTCGAACGTGTGCACCTAGAGTTCACACAGAAGGACCAATCGAACATTCTAATCCGGAGCGTATCTTGTTTTCTTGTTACTGATAATAAATGCCTTGCGAAGTTGGGACGAGAGTGCGATAGAAGTAGGCTGTGTGCGTTGTCTCGATTCTTGGACTATGCCCACTATGGTGCAGTTACAACAGGAACTCAACATTCTGTTTGTTCAAAACTCACACGGGCTGCTGGGGCTTTCCAGTCATTTTTTTCGCAGTTGCAGGATGACGATAGATAATTTGAAATATTTTAGAATTATTAAGTTGGGAGAGGCACATACTCAGAAACAAAAATAACAGAATAAAAAAAATATATATATATATATTTTTTTTTTTTTTTTTCTTCCGATTACCGGAACACCGGAAAGTAAAACCAGCGACGCAACTTCCGGAGTCTGACGTCACGCTGCTCCGCGCTGTTCCTCTGGTTTCGGTTTAGCCGCTTATCTGTTCGGCAAAGACGCGACTCAACGGCGAGAACTAAATGTTTGGTGTCTCGACACCATGTTACGGCTCTGTTGCGCTAAAAGATCATTCGTTTGTTGGAGGGTTTCAGAGGATTGCGGTCCACCTGAGTCTCCGGGACGAGCACCCCCTGGCGCGTCGGCTGACAGTCCACCACGACCAGATCTCGCTGCAGACAGTCGCCGACGCGGCACAGTCTCCGCTCCTCGGCCATGGCTCGCAGGGCTTGCCCGTCCCTCAGTTCCTCGTAGCGCTGTCCGTCGGTAGCCAGTACTGAAAGGCGGTCTAGCCGGGGCCAGCTCAGCGGTGAAACAAGAGCCAGAGGCTCGGACAGACAGTAGCGACGCGCAAACTGCTCGTGCACGTGCAGTAGTACAGCACCGGCCCCGACAGACCGAGCGCACGCTTCGTCACAGCCTTCGATCAGTTCGCAGGGCACCAAGAGCCCCGGTGAAGACAGGCGAACGTTCTCCCAGCTCGTCAACGCGACGACGTTGTTGTCGGCCCATTCGGCGTGCTTGGGAGACAGCTTGACCGCGTCCCCCGTCGTGCACGCGCACAGCTTCACGCGCACGCGCTTCATGTCTTCTTGGGAACAGGGAAAGCCGTTGTAATCACACATCAAATCAACAAGCGCAGGAATGCTCCGTGGTCCTGATGATGCACGGAACCCTTCAAGACACGGCTGCAACCCTTTGACGTGGTGGCTCGGAGGAGCCGATACTGCGAAATGTGCTCTGTCGTCCTCACAGAAGTTGTTCCTGGTGCGCTTCCATGGCGTAAAACAAAGCTTCCTCAAAACCTTCAAATAATTAACTTTTCCCGCAAGACTCGGAACCGCACGACCCCACTTTCAAAAAGAATCATGGCGATGCCAGCGATGCTTCGGATCTGGATTTGGCTCGGGACGACTTGTGCATCAGGTGTCCGGATACGTCAACCTCATTGGGATACGTCTAAGTTTCGTTTCTAGGTTCTTTTGGCTGGAGGACTTCTCGGCTCAGTTTCATTTGTGCGTTCTTCTTAAATTCAGTTTATTTTACGCATTAAAACAATTAAATTCAAAGCAAATTATTGAATTATCAGTCACCGAATAATTTCTTATCCTTGGCAGGGGCGGATGCAGGAATTTCCTGAGGTGGGGGTCAGCGTATCACATGTTTAGGAACCCCCCCCCCCCCCCCCCCAACCTCTCCCTCGTTTTACGCCCTAAATTTTACACACGCATAAATCAAGAGGGGGGTTCAGGACATCCGGACCCCTTCTCTAAATCCGCCCCCAATTCCTTGGTTGGCTACATCCACACGCGTGCGTGCTAACACTTCTGCATTTCTTCCAAAAGCTCAGCATTGGCAAACCTCCAATTAAAAAAAAAAAGGGGGGGGGGGGGATTTAAACACGCTTTATACAATACCATCTCAGAAAATCACATACACACACACACACACACAAAAGAAAACTATTCGAAAGCATCAAGTAAACTACAATCAGGTAAGTCCTGTATACCTTCATACTTTCAAGAATAATGTTATCCATGGCAAATTGTAAAGTACACTTGAAGGAATGTTTTCAAGGTCTAGAAGGAGATGCTGAGAGAGGTATGGGCCATATGTTGTGAAGTAAAACAAGACACTCTTGGAAATTCCACCATGATAGAGCATCAGTAGCATCGCAAGACCAGAAGTAATTTCCTGTGCAGTGTTTAGCTGTTCCATCATGCAGCACACAACTGAAAGAGAAAGGGCCACCAGACTTGCATCAACACAACCAATAAGAATTTGTTTTATTTAAATGTAGCACACAACGGGCATCCCAGCCCCATATGGACCCCTCTTGGCTATAGTGTCTCTTGTTCCGGCGGAGGTAGGGCTCCTAGAACATCACTTGCTGCCTGAAGTGCTTCTGGAACTTGTTGGCTTTGACCGACAGCTGGACGGCTTGCTTGGCCTGGAGGGCACGCATGTAGCGTATGTCCTTGGCCTTGCGGCTTGCATCTTCCCTCGATGTGCACCCTGTCCATCCCAGGGCCCGGTAGTGCGACAACAGCTTTTTGGCAGAATCTCTGTTCCTGGAGGCTGCCTCAGCAGGAAGATTCTGCCTGTAGTACCTGGCCAGCGAACGATGTCCCACTACGGCGCCCGAAGGCAAGACCAGCTGCCAACCGTCACCTTCCAGCACTGGCACGTCCACTTCTTCGTCGGGGTCCGTTGAAGGGTCCGGGTAGCTGGGCGAGTAGTCGTAGAAGTCAGCGTACTCCATGAGGCCGTCGATGCCATCCTGGTCCATCTTGCAGTGTCCCCGGTCGGCCATGTGCTGCTGTACGGCGCGGAGAGTGCCGTAGCTGCGCTGGTGACGGCACCAAAGGCAGGCTTTGCCCACGCCGACCTTGTAGCCCAAGTACGTGAGCAGACCTTCCAGATCCACTAGGTACTCGGCGTCCGGGATGAAGAACGAGTGAGCGGTTGTCATGTGTTCTACGTTGCTCTCGCAATTCGTGCTTTGATGGTCGCAGAAGAGGCAGCAGTTCGGCGGGATACGGTCTTGCTCCTCGTCCACGCTTTCCCAGTCGCTGTCGTCACCGTCGTCATCGCTGCCTTCGTCACCGTTGATCTTGCCGTCTGTCGAAAGTGGAGGACTCTTGACCGCTTCGGGGCCGTGTTCACGCGCGTGGAACTTGAGCACCGCTTCCTGGTGCTTCTTGGACTTGGCGTGGTTCTCGTAGGACTTTCGGGTGGCGAACTGCTTGCCGCACTCCTGGCAGTAGCTGCAATCCGGGGTCGTTTCGCTGGCGGATAGCGCGAGGACCCGCCGCTGGAACTCTTCGGCCGTCACCGGAGGAAGGGCGGCTACTTTCCTTTTCAGGTTATACCGGTGCCAGTCGCATTTGTAGTGGCTCCTCTGAAGCTGCGCATTGGCGAAAATCACCTGGCACGACAAACATGTGTACTGCGCCGCCATGACAGCTGTAATCTATGATCCAAATGCGACTTTTCGGTTTGCTTCTTTCGCGGCAATACGAGACATTGCTCAACGCGCATGCGCAGCAGGTTATGCGCCATTTGAGCAGACGACGCCGACGACGCGCATGAAACTTTGATTAAACCAGTTCATCAAAAGTATCATAACCTTATTATTTCAGGAAGAAATTAATTATGTGTCTCTTTTCATTTACTGCTAATTGCAGAAAAATGTCTGAACAGCGTTTACATTTAAGAGTGTTATAATCGTTAGAATTTGACGCCAGAGCTGCCTTTGCCTTTTTTTACGGTGGAAACTTTATTGTGAAACATGTAAGATAGTGAAACCGAGGTGCTTACCAAACACACCCGTAACACGGCAAAATGTAGAGATCGAACGTGTACGTTTGCGCTTCTTTTTTGCTCGTTGCAGTAGCTGTAAGACTGTAATTGTAGTAAAATGAACAAATCAACACCTTATGAGCGGGTCAGCAAATTACACATGGTTGTAAGATTGTTCTTTTCTCCTACCAAATTTGTCCAGTCCATAAAAATGATTTTGTTGCGGATTTTGTGGGGCTCTCAGAAAGTTACTGTGGTTGCAGCAAAAAAAGAATTATAAATTACAATTATTGAACTCTTACTTTTCTAAAAAACTTGTTATAAAATAGAGAAAAAGAGTATTTTCTGACTACGAAACCAAACACATCCGGGAACCCATTGCAGATGCGTCGTCGTGTTGGTCGCTCGCTGCGCTGCAGACTCGCAGTATTCGGGTGAGTGGTGACTCTGTTTTCGGCCTTCCCGTGTGGGCATATATATTTCCTCCGAAAGGTTCCTATTTCCTTTACGACGACGCCTTGATTCCGCCGCACGGTAGTGCGGCTTGACCCCAGGCCACTGCTCCTAAGCATCTGCGGTTTTTCTTTCTTTTTTTCCCCCACGGCAGCAGTCGGTGGAAGGAACCTTTCCACCCCAGGCGCCACCATTTCTTCGGTGATTGAGCTTCAACCGTGTTTCTCCGCACACCACAGCACTGGTCAACAGTTTTATATGACGTCTTTATTTTGGTGGATCGGTAAGTGGACTACCGTGCCTCTGGCCTCCCCATACTTCGGTGTTCGTTGACAAGGGCCGCCGTTCTTCCTGGTGCCAGCATACGTTAGGCTTAAAGCGCTCGACGGGAGCTCTTCGTGGGAGCTCGGGGCAAACTTGCTCGCGGACGCTGGCAGCGTTCATGAAGTATTCACCGGGCGCAGACGAGCCGCACGTTAGGGCTTCTAATCTCCACTTTGGAAAACGGGGCACCCTAGTTCATCAGTGGTGCGACGTAGCTGATTCTGGTAATCACTCAACTGCCATCACTGTCTCGTGGCCAGTCTTCACATATTTTTTTTCTTTTTTTTTTTCTCCCCCGTTTGGTTTTGGTAGAAACCACGAATCGCCGACCTCTGCTGCATTGACATGTTTGTAGTTTCTGAACCAGAAAGCCTGGATTATGAGTTGAGACCCGTCGTTGCCTTCCCTTTTACTAAGTTCACGCAGCAGAGGAGGGGGGTGGCCAGAGCAGATATCTGTCGAAATCGGCCACGACACGTTTTCATGGGGGTACCCGTTGTCCATTTGCTTACGGTGCTGCCGAACGAAACTGCTGTCTGCGCGCGAGTGAAGCCACACTGTAGCCCTTAATGTCGCCGACTTGACCGTGGACAGAGCGTGACGCCTGTCAAACTGCTTTCGGTTGAACGCGATGATAGGTAACTACTGGAAAGTGGAGCGTTTCGGTTTAGAGTTCACTTTCTAGCGCCGTAAACCCGCCCAGGGCTTGAAAGCATTCACGTCACAAGTGGTGATGTTGAGAGGAATTTCGGACTCTGGAATGCTGTCCTCAACCTGCTGACTATCTGACGTCGTATTCCCAGAGTGAGTTACTGAGCAGTTTAAGGATGTGCGGGGTGAGACTTGTCAATAAATCGATTAAAGAGAACTAGTTCGATATGTCGCCGAGTATGAACGACTCGTTATGTGAAGTGCTGTACAGTGCTCCACTGTCTCCCTTGTTCGATTGCAGCGGTAATGCATAGCTGACGAAAAAACGCTTACGTAAGTGCTTATTTGTTTGAACCGAGATCTAGCTCAGTGTTTGTATTTGGCAGCCAGCTGCTACGTATATGCAGTTCCCAAAATATCAACATACTGAAACGCGGGTCTCTGGGAAGAAGGTTTTTTAATTTAGTGTGTATAACCAGGACTAAATACACAAGACAGCAGTGGGGTCGGTCGGTCTGTTTCACTGAGCACCAATATATTATTTGGCAGAAGTTGGTGTAGTTGTGCCTTTAATAATATACCTAAGCTGCGGGAACAGCAAACGAAGCCTTGCTTTTACCATTGCCTAATTGAGAGATGCCCAAAACAGGCGGTAGATGACTGTTTTTCCATTAAAAAGAGTTATTTTGTCAGCCTTAGTTTGGAGCTGTGTGGAAAATAGCCAGACTACAGTCCTTCGACATTGGTTTGCTTTCAACAAGTTAGTCATCAATAGAGGGCGGTGGTGTGGACACAAATAAAGGACTCCTTTAAAGGCCGACATACACTTCGCGCTTTCCACTTTTGCCCGCCACCTCCTTTCCTATATCCTCTCCACCTTTTACCTTGCCCCAACCTGGCTCCCCTTCGTAGCTTAGGAGAGGGGAGTGCTGAGAGGATTATCTTCCCTGCAGAAAACCGAGGTTGTACGTTGGCCTTTAACTAACTTTTACTGGAAAGTGAAGTCAGTTGTGCCTGAAAGATACCATTTGGCCGGTGTTTGTTACTTGACAGTGGGGTGTAACAGAATGACAGAACTGAAAGGGGCTGAAAGCCCACTCATCCACTTTGTTCCATACATACTTCGGGGCCTCAGAACGACTTTTTTGCACCAATTTTGCGGCTCCTATTGCAATACAACGTTGTCAGTATGCACCATGTAATAATAACCATAGATGCAATGCATTTTTTTTTTGCCAGTTTTTTATAGCTTTTGGCCAATGTGACCTGTTTTCTGGAGCACCTAGGTGTTTCAAAATCTTGAAAGCAAGGAAGTGCCACCCAAAATTCCACTACACATTCTTTAAAAAAAACAAAAAAACTGTTAAGGGTTTGTGTTTTATTACTTGAGTGCGTGGTTGTGTCAGCAGTGAAATAGGACTGTTTCAAGAGTGATGCTTTGCTCTGTTGCTGGAACAATTTTCAACTGTTTCCCGAACGCACTAGCTCGATTAAGCATTTCGTTCCAATCTTTACGATATTCCAGCTCTACCTCCTGGCACTTCTAACATGTAAAAGCAAAGGCTCAAACTTGGCCTTCTTCCCAAATTTGGGCATTTGCTATAGATGTCTTCAAAAGGGGGACCTTTGAGTTAAGGGCAACGTCCATATAGCGTGGGCTGCTACATCGCGTTTGCTAATGTGCCACGTCATTTCTGAAACCTCCGATCTATGTCGATATAGGTGTCGCTTGTTTTCGTGCTTTGGTCGTTGCAAGTACTGGCGACAACATAAAATATCAGTAAAGAAATATATGTATATTTTTTAATTTGACATTTAAAATGTGTTTTCGATAGGTTACTTTTTTTTCCCCTGTACCGCTACTGCCGCGTCCAATGCACAAGCCTTCTTGGCTTATGTTGGAGTTAAAGGGATTGTCCGATCGAAACCAGAAGTACTTAAGGTTTTGCTCTCGTTAAGTCGAGGGAGCCTTCATGTAGACAAGTGTCATTTTTAATTTGATATATGATCTCCCGTAAACCTTTCATGAGCGTATGTACGAAACTGCATTCCGAATCTTGCCAGTGTCAATGGCTGACATTCATAGGTGCTGCGTGACGTCATAAAACTCGAAGGTTTGTCGGATGCTTGGGATAACTAGCGTTTGTTGATGGATGTCTTGTATTTTGTTTAGAATTATATAGTCTCCTAGCCTGTACCCTACGGAAATATGGTTCCTTTAATGCAGTTCCGAAGCATGTGCAAAAAAAAGTCGCGCCTTTTTGCGGGATAATACTTGCAAACAGCCATAAGCTTTGAGCAAACGTATGCCGTTTCGCGCAAACACAACTGTGACGGCCGCCGATCAAACTAAGGGCGCTTGCAGAGCAAAGGATGCAGATTTTGCCTCTGAAGCGGCACCTAGGTACACGAAGCGGCATCTGGGTACACATGTCGGCGAATTTACTGGATTGTTGATGAGGCTGTTGGTCTTTCCCTCAGAGGCGATGTCCGCGGGTTGAAGGCAAACAGTGAATCGTTCAAATGCATGTCGTCACTTGACTTGGACGAGCTTGGTGAATCGCAGTCACGCTCCATTTTCACACGCGGACCAAACACAAACGGGCTGCACAGATGCTAAATACAACTTCTGGCATCGTTTACAGATGGCCTAGCTGTTGGTTTCGGTTTCGCTGCATAATCTAATTGATTGGTTCGATTTGGGCGGGGAGTGGATGGACGTAGTTTAATATTGTTGGCACAGCATCACACCTCAGCTTACGAGCCTTCTGTCCGCTTAGAGCTCAGCTCGTAGCTCTCTTCTGTGAGATGATTGCTGCATAAGCGGGTTCTCGATCTTGACGGGAACCCAGTCCCTACGCACAGCGACGATCCACTTTTCTCACAACTGCACGTCTTGCGGAAAAGTGTGGAACTTCACGTCTTGGCTCGCATGTGCTGCCTGGTGGTTGTGGCACCCGACTGTGCAACAAAAATCTCGCCCAACCATGAAACAAGTCGAGCACAACAACAAAAACAAAGCGCGCTGGGGCATTCACTCGCAGGCAAACGACGAGACAGAAATGCTCGCTTTGTGTTTTGTGACGTCAGAGCTTCAATGTTGCCAACGAAAGCAGCGTTTATGCTAAAATGCAATTGGAGCAGTATTAATTCAATTCTCACGCAGAGGGGCATATAAAATTCAGGCATTGCACATACGATGCGTCTCGGGGCAATAACAATGATATTCAATTATTTTCTCGAATACAAAATTTGACCTTTAAGCTGTACAATGTGAAAAAAGTAATAAATTGTATCCTATTGTACGTAACTGTCCTTGCCCCGCCAGATACGCAGAAAGCTGTTTTCATAAACTATTGGTATGCGGCATTTAAGACAAGCGGCGCCGGACTACCGCTTCACAGTTGCTTTCTTTCTTTTTTTTCAATTAAGCATTGTTGTATAGTTCTGAAGAAGTGTCGGGTTTCTTTCGAGGCAGCAACTGAGCTGGCAGGGTTGTTTTGCATCTGGCTGGTTTGACCTTAACGTTGTTTGAATGGGATTGTTGTAAGGGGTCGTTGAGTTCACTCATACTTGGGGGAGTGAGATTTCTTGGACTTGTCACCTGATCAAGCACAACTTTATTTTGTTGGCTAGTTGTCTAAATCTAATCTAAACAAAACAAAAAAATTAAAGGGTGCCAAAGAAGAAAAGCAGCTGCCCTTTTTTTTATTTCTGTAATACGCAGAATTGACGGACTGTGCTGTACACATACCTCACGTATGATTGTCAAAATACTATAAAAATAGTACAATGTAATATGTGTTTATATATTAAAACATATGTATATATGTTTTAATATGTTTAATGAGCTGTCTGCACAAACGTGTGCCACTGCTGCTTTCTTCTCGCATAGAATTTTTTTTTCTTTTTTTTTTTTAAAGGAGGTTTTTTAGTAACATTGGGCCTCTTGCAAGGGATTATAGAAGTCCCTTTCTGTGACTATTGTTGGTTTCCTTTGTTAAAAACTGTTTTTTTGGTGGAAAGTGGAAGTCTTCCCGGTTTGACTTGAGAAAGTGTTAGAAAGCAACTGGATGTAACAAACACAACATAAATTTCCCATAAAATTTTTAAACTTGCTACATATTTCTCAGTGGACAGCCACCGAACGACCAGTTGACTGTCTCATTCCGATGCTCAACATTAGTCTGATGCCGCTTTCAAGGTGGTTTTGTTTTGGACTCCTCTTCTATTTAGAGGGCACGAGACCTTAGTGTGTCTCGATGACCTCTTTCCAGAATTCTTGGGACGAGGAAATCCAGCAAACTACCGGCAACAGATAGAGCCTAGTAGCTGCACCATCGAGCCGGGCAGGTTTATGCATTTCCGGGGGTCTGTGACCAGTGGCCGTCTTCACTGTAAACACCCGGACAGGTGAGCAGGGTGGCCGCTGGCTGCCATTTCTCCTATACTCATCTTATTCTCGGTTCAACAGCTCGTAATACTCATTTCAGTGAACTTTTACTGGAGGAGCTCCCTAATTCTGGGTTTCATGTTTTACAAGATCTGTGCTTGGGGGCTAAAAATACATTTTATTTTCTAAACTAAAATTTAAGGAAGAATTTTTTGGGGGAAGGGATTTAGACGTATTTGAAAAATATTTTGTTCTTTTTTAATTGCTCTAATGGAGAGATTTGTATATTTCTATTCGAGGAGAAACCGGGTATAATCTGATTTTCATAAAACTTGCTCGGGGTAGAAATATTGCGTGCATTCGGGTTTTATCTGAAAATTAAAAACCCTAGTTCTGTAACTGCGCATAAAGTCCGTTGAAGTCATGATTGGGCCAGAGACATTTGTGTGGCTCTTTTTTTTTTCCTGTGCTGGAACTTTTAACATTAATTTCGCCTCAGAGACTAGAAGAGACAGTGTTTAGCAATCTCTATTTGACAACCTTGGGTGGTAGCTAATAGCTAACACTCCTCTATTTCATACGCTCTCAGCTCCAGTTAAGTCAACTGAAGCTGAGAGTGTGCGGGCCAAAATTCAGATCTAATTCTCCAGACACAACTCTAGTTTGACTCAGGCACGCTCAAGAACTCCGCGTACTATTGGCGTAGCTCCTTAGTTACGCAAGTTAGCCGTGTGCCGTCTACGAGCTGATGCAGATGTGCGTTAATCAGATTTGCCTCGTGGGACTCGGACGTCATTTCGAGCGACTTCGGGTCCCCCGTTTGCGTTTGTGTGCTGACCGGCAGCGTCTTCTCTTTCAGGAGAACAGACGTACATTGTAATGCTATTAACAGTTAACCCGCAGAACTTAAACCGGAACAATTAGGTGAGTTGCCTCATACATGCGTGCATGTTGCATGTCCACGTGGAGCGCCCGCTCGCTTTTCTCTCGCCTCGCATTTCTTTCTCTGTGGTCTTTTAGCGGAAGCCCGATTGGTGGGCTGTTTCGTTTTGAGGGCTTCTCGCCTTGGCGTGCCTAAATTGCCCCGCCCGTGCCGTGCGCGGGTGCCCCAACGGAGGAGCTGTCAAAAACTCTGCTAACCTGCATCTTTGTCGTTCCCCTTCCTTTCTCTCTCCCACCTTGCCGGTGTGTTGCACCCCCTCACCCCACCCACTGTGCGCAGACGCTATCCCCTACACCCGCCAAAGATTGCAGGCCCTGCAGTCCTGACTTGTCTTCTCTCTTCCGAGGATCCTCCCTCCCCCTGTGCAGACTAGATTCCCTCCCCCCTCTCTCCCCCTCCTCTCTCCTTTCTCTCCCCTCGCCTGCTCCCTTCCTTCACTCCCCCCGGTGCCTGTGCGTGAACCCTCCCCCGAGCCACCGCCGCCACCTGCGCCGCCGTCATGGGGAGCGTCAACGTGAACCGCAACCTGACGGACCAGTTCTACCGCTACAAGATGCCCAAGATCATTGCCAAGGTGGGTGGTGGGAGGTGCCCCTAGTCAAAACTTCTTTCGGCATTGGGAGGGGTTTCAGGTCATCGTGTTAAGGGATGGTCGAGCGTTGTGTACCTATTGTGGAGACTGGTCAGTTCCTCGTGCCTTCCATGTTCTCTGGCATATCCATTCATGTGTATATGGCAAAAACCAGGAAAAGTCTGGAATTGGGACCTATTCAGTTGGCACTGCTTTTGCGAACCAGTTTTTGCTAGCCACAGAATATAGATCATGAGGGGACAGAAAAATCCCCTCATGACATCTATACCGTGTTTCTGACAGTGGGGCACTCTTGCAGTGCGTTGAATTACCTTGTCACCGTTCGAAGCCACCGACCTTTACTGTGTCTTCTGGGGAGTTTTAGGGCCGGCACTAACCTGCCAAACCGACCCATAACCAGGCAAGACTGGCTTTCGCAGTGCCTTAGATTATGCACCGAGTGGCTGCCTCGTTGCAATACCAGTGTAAGCAGGGCATGTAAAGACGCAGGGAATGTAAAGACATGTCCTTTTACGAGGTCTGGTGGAGGTCAATGTTCTAAGCTCCGAGCTTATGTCTGGCGTCCTAGTAGGGTCGGAGTCAACAGCTTCTAAATGACACGTCTGTAGTGCCAGATGTTTTACATCACCCACAGCCTATAGGAGACCAAATCAGTCCACAGATTGAATGTGAGGGTGTTTGGCTGGAACTCACGTGCTCACTAGTTGAGCTCGAGTACCATTTAATCCTGGGCCCTGATAGGTGACATAAAACATCCAGGACTACCGCTCCGTTGTCTAGATGTTGGCTCAGGATCCTTGAGGAAGCTTTGGTGAAGGGGGAGAAAGATGGTGAGCTGGAAAGGGCGTCCTCTGTGTTCAGGTGGAGGGCAAGGGCAACGGCATCAAGACGGTGCTGGTAAACATGGGGGAGGTGGCCAAGGCCCTGAACCGGCCGGCCACCTACCCGACCAAGTACTTCGGTTGCGAGCTGGGGGCCCAGACGCAGCTGGACGCCAAGAACGACCGCTACATCGTCAACGGGGCCCACGAGGCGGCCAAGCTGCAGGACATCCTTGACGGCTTCATCCGCCGCTACGTGCTTTGCGCCTCGTGCGACAACCCCGAGACGGTGCTCGGGGTGCTGCAGCGCAAGGGGCTCATCACCACCAAGTGCCGGGCGTGCGGCCACAGTGGCACCCTCGACGGGGCCCACAAGCTCAACACCTTCATCCTCAAGAACCCGCCGCCGGGCCAGGTGAGGCTGGCCTCTTGTTTGGCCGGAAGCAGCCCCATGATGGCTCCCCTAAGGTCTATTCGCACGGCGCATTTGTTTGGCGAGTTTAATTTTGCAAGATAGATGCACTTTTGAACGCAACCGGAAAAGGTTGCGCACGCTCCTCGCTTCTGAAGCAAGGTTTTGCTGAAGCCTCACGAGGCCTGTCAATCACCTGAAGGATAAACGCGGACGCTGCGAATGGCCGCTCGACTTTGGTGCGACGTCTGACCTTTGAGGTGGAGCGAGCTTTTGGAGGCCCGACTTTTGGTCAGTCCCATATCCAAGTCAAAGCCAAAAAGAGAAAACAAACATGGCGGCGAGTGCCAAGTGATGCTTACGGGCGATACTGGTCGGTAGCACGCGTTGGTGGCACATCGCAGACTCCTCAACAGTCGCGATGAGTGCAAGCACTGCATATAAATATAATGATTTGAAAAAACATCTTTTAGCGGCACAAAAATTTTGGAAATACTGAGATATTCGCCTGTTCTTTGATGTTGACTGTCTTTTCCCCGGTTTGGCAGGTCTAGTAAACTGAGAGAGCCAAATCCGACCGAGCTTATCGAGCGGTGTCAATAAAGTAGACTGTCTCTTCACACTAAGTTGATGCAAGACGCTCAATATTTCTGGTGCAGATGACATGGGTTGGCGAAATTTCGTAGCGAGTCAATATGTTGCAGATTTTGCGCGTCAAACTCGACGAGTGAATAGGCCGATTCCAAGAAATCTTGGATTTCGCTAAACTGTTGCGCGTTGAAAAGACGCTCAGTGTGAATAAACCTTTAGTCTCCTTCCACTTGGGTTCCAATTTTCATCGGACAAGTTTTGCAAGAAGCCAGTAGGAACCATGTTTTATATACTTCATAGTCTATACAGGGGGGGGGGACAGTGTTTCAGATAATCAATATTTGTAAAAGATAAACAAACAAAAAAGGACACCTTCTGAAAGTTAGTAGAGAAAGTCTAGCTTCAGCTGGAGAAATCTTCGACTGTAGCCTTATTTAGTGTTGTTCCGGAACACTGCTTCTTCTTTTGGGAATGCAGTCCTTGTGGCGGTCCCTTTTCTTATCGTGTCATTTTCCCAGTATTTGGGTCACGTGTACATTCTCTTCAGGCTGGGAATGTCATGCCACTATCCTGTTCATCCTGCTTGTTCCTTTGTTTCTCGAACACCAAAAAACACTGCATCGGTAGGAAAAAGACACTAAAAATATGAAATGGAAAAACATTCCCAAATACTGAATAAATATTAACCACGAAACCTGAGTGATAACTAAATGCAAGACTTTCGAGGAAAAGGTTGTGACACCATATACGCCTCTCTTCTCGCTAGGCCTAATGACAAACGCCACTATGGGCCCCAGTGAAAGAGTCAATATAATTGCGTTCAGTACACATATAAGTTGGTTTAAAGGCTTTGTTCTGGTTTATTTATTGGACAAATCTTGAAAGGAAGTTTTCTTTTTTCAGTAAGGTGGTATGCTTTTGTTTTCCCTAGGAAGTGGCCAATTTCAAAAGATGCAGTGATGTCTCGTTAACGTGGATGCCTCCATCGGGTCGTTCATAATAACTGGAGAAGAATGTATTTAACCAGTTCGTCCCCGAAAGCGTCGTCTGTATCGGGGTGCATCCATATTAATGAGACGTGACTAGTTCCTGCCCGTGGCTAGCAGGCGTGCCGCGCCGCCCGACGGAGGGGTGCTGTAGGTGCAAAGGGTCTTGCGTGGACTGCTGCCAAAAGCGGGTCCCTGAGGAGGGGGGGACGTAACGGGTGCGTGCAGGACAGTGGCAAGGCGGCTGCGGCGGCCCCCGCGGCGGCTGCATGCGGCAAGAAGGGCAAGCGCAAGTCGCGGGACGAGCGCAAGGGGGAGGCAAACGCCCAGCAGAACGGGGACGAGGCCCAGCAGGAGTCCGACCACCAGGACGACGACTGGGGGGACGACCCCGACGACGACTGGGCGGAGGACACCAGCGAGGATGCCAAGGTACTTCCCCCTTCGACCCCCTTCGCCCTGCGTCGCACCACGGAGAGACGGGCGGTCGGCGTGCAAATTAAAGTGGAGTTCTTGTGCTCCGTCGCATTCTTTGCGTGGTGGTCGACGCCGAAGGGCTACGAGGAAAGGCTGTTGGCAGAAGTGGAAACGGCGAACAAAAGAATCTGACCCGTCCGGTCTGTTGGTGTTCGACTGGTGGTGGCACTGCCAAAGTAGAAAGGAACAAAGGCAGACATCGAGCATTCATCCCTTGCTTTTCGGCGTGGCTTTGTGAGAAGGCAGATGTAGGGTCGAGAGTCCACGATCCGTTATTTATGCAGTGGAGTCTTCCCGGAAAGGTAGCTCACGTTTGTTTCCTCTCGGATGACCGCGCTTTTTCAGAGCGCAGCTTTTGGGCGCCCGTTCCCCCATATGTCGCCGTCTGCCTAACCGCCATGTGCAAGAACGGGCACCTAACAGTCCCATAATGCAAGACTGCATGCATTGCGTTAAGGGACCTATACACCAATTAAATTTCCCCCCAAATTTAGCAGAGATACTGAATCGGTGCGTAGATCCGCGACGTCCCCTAATGTAACACTGCGTGCATCGCATTATGGGACACAACTTCACAGATCGCGGCTTCACACCGCTCGCCGCCCCCGTATATCGCAAATCAAAATACCTCGAGAGTTGCGCTGTAATTTCGTTTTACAGAGAGAAGCGTAAACGTTTTTAAATTTTCGCGATAATGCGTGAATAGAAATAGTGCTTGCCTGGAGCAGTATTGGGCTCGCAAAAGTGGTTCGCTGGAAGTCTTGCGGCAACAAAGCTCTCGAATGCCGTGGGGGGAGAGGTGACCGTGTGCGACCGGACGCAGGCCCGTCGCATGGAGGCCCTGACCTCGGGGGCCAAGGGCCTGATGCTGGACGACGACCTGGAGAAGAGCGAGCAGGAGCGGGTGGACATCTTCTACAACTTCGTCAAGGGGAGGAGGGACGGCAGCCTGGACCCCCGGGAGGTGGTCGGGGAGGCTGAGAGGCTTGAGGTGAGAGGCCACACCTGCCACCCCTTGGGACCTTTGGAAACCCCTTAAGGCCCGTTCACACTCTTGCGACCGAGTACGACTGAGAGAGACGAGATCTCTTAAAACTTGTTAAATGTTTTTAGAATGAGGGAACACACTGGGATTGTGGCGCCATCTATGCGGTGACCCTGGAACTGCATTTCACAAGAGCAAAGGTTTTGCGGGATTTCCGAGGTCAAATGTGCGTAATACCCATAGAAAGGCTCGTTTATAACATTGACCAAAGTTTTTCGAGCCAAGAAAGAAAGGATAATGCGCGAGAAATAAAGAAAAATATGCCGGACTGCCGAGTTTACACTGCTTCCCAATAGATGGCGCCAGTGTGTTCTCTGGTTTAAGAAGTTTTAAGGAACCCAGGTTTAAGAGGTCGCGCGAGTGTGAACGGGCCTTTACGACCACTCTGGTGCCGTCTATGCGGTGACCCTGGAACTGCATTTGTCTAGAGCGAGGGTTTTACGGTGTTTGCGGCGTCAAAACGTATGTACTAGTACTACGAGAAATGGTTGTTTGGAACATCGACAAACGTTTTTTCGAGCCAAAAAAGAAAGAAAAACATGGGAGATATACTAGACCGCCAAGTGTTGCGCTGCTGTCAGACAGATGGCGTCTGTGTGTTCTCTTGTCGTAAGAGGTTTCGTGGCGCACATTTCTAAAAAGTCGCAAGTGTGTCAACAGACTATCTCTTCCTCTCCCCTCTCTTGGAATGTGGTGTTTTGGTTTGGGTGAGGAGGTTTCTGAAGAGGGATGTAGCATCAAGGACAGATATCTCTGCTCTGCCTCTGTTAAGCATGTTGAATCCACAGAGGGATAGAGGTAGTATAAATGTCCGGGAACCGCTTTGATGTCCGCCAATATTCTTTGTGTATACCGTTGAACCTCGATCTAACAAACCCCGATCTAACGAAATTCGCGATTTAATGATATTTTTTTCTCCCTATCTTGCTTCCATTGAAGACAATGTATTTTATCTCCTGATTTAGTGAAGTACTTGTGCACCGCAGTTTTGATTAACGAAACCTTTGAAAATCGCACATACACATTATCAACGGCCTCCGCAAGAAAAAAAAAATTTAACAGATACAAACCTATCTTATTGTCGAAAACTGAGCATAGAAATGGCCGGTCATTACCTTTTCCACAAGTAAAAAAAAAGTACACACCGGTGGTGGTGATAATGATGCTGATGACAAACCTCGTAGCCTCTGCCTCTCATGGAAAAAAAAAAGTGCCATTACATGCACCTACGCCCAACAAACTACAGCTCTTGCATGCTTGCAGCAACAAAAAATTGTTTTGTGCCTCGAGTGTTGTGCTGGATGGAGGTGGTCGTGTTCTTGAAACAGTGAGTGGTGCACCGAGCAAAAGGAATGTTCTGTCGCTCGACATCAAGGCGAAAATAATCGCTAAAGTGTTGAGCGACGAAAAAAAAAAGACTGTTGCCAAGAAGTAGGAAATTTCGACGATTTTGAAGTTGAAAGACAGCATTATGGCAACCGTAAATGCCAGTTGTTGCTTTCTTGACTGCACGCTCTCCTACGGTGCTAGGCACGGCTCCCATAACCATACAAAATGAGGGTCAATGAACTGCATTCTTCTATTATCGCCACATTTTGAAGTAGAACCTTATTTGTAAACGCCCCCTTGCAAGATGTGAGGCAATTGGAGGGTTTTTGGGAGCCTGGAAGACTAATTTCAGCGCTAATAAACAAAAGCGTCGGGTCAACAAAATTCTTGATTTAACGGAATTTTCGGCTCAAAAGGCGACTTCATCATATCGAGGTTCAACTATAGTTTTGTTTATGGACAACTTGGCTGACACTGTCGTGATGTTCGAAAAGCTTATGGGCGTGAATGGTGCACTCAGGGCAGGCCGTTGTGCAACTTTCTAATGTGGACCACTGAAGTGCAAAACAATCTGATCACGAAGAAGCAAAGCACGTGTCTAACAAGCTCCCAACCTGTTTCGCCAGCCATTTAGTATATAAAACTCCAAGACCGAAGGCTTTTTTTTTGGCTGAAATCACTTTTTCTGGCTCAATTATTCAGCTGTATAACTCATTAGCACTGACTTCATTAAGGGGGGACACGGTGCAAGAAACTGCGATTTTTGCCTAAAAAACCCGTTTTGGGATTTTGTTTTTATCGGAATCCTTTACTAATAAAGAATCTATACGCAAAGTTTTATTGACATCTGTGCCGTAGAACAGCCAGAACTTACGTTTATTCACGTGCCGGAGACGCCCGCGCGCCGCTTCGGGCACAGGGCGAGCCACAGAAAACACCGTTTCTAAATTCGCGCCCACGAGACGCTGCGTAGGCCTAACGCGACATGTGTACCCTCGTTGGAAACATCGTTTTTTTTTCTTTCGAATGAGCGCGCACGCTGTTTTCGAGAGTGCAATAAGGCGTGTGCAGAGCCCAACAAACTAGAAGTAAAAATCTAGAAATGACGCGGCCGGATTGGCTAGGAAATCGAAACTCGGACTGTGGTTGGTGCAAATGCAGCACGTGACTCTTCGAACACTTTTTCGCGGTCTATGGAGCCTTTCCAACGCCGCCATTACGGTCGTTTTCGCTTTTGATTCCTATCGTCGCTGGTTGTAAATCGTATCGCCGCTTTCCGTGCGCATATTTGCGCACTCAAAATGCCTGCAACAAAGCATTTCACTAAGAAGAAATTCGGGAAACGAAACCGTTTTACGAAACCGAGGGGCCGACGTAGCAATGGGCGGCCGGTCGTGCTCGAGCCGTCACCATGTTCGCGCGACTCGGGCCCAACGCAAGCGACGACCGAAGTTCTTCCGAGTCTCGACGCGACTACCTCGGCGTCGGAAAGCTCAGCTTCTGTCGACGACGTCGAAAGCAACCTGACTGCTTTCGAACGAAAGGCTGCTCTCCTCCAACGTGACGATGCATCTGAAGGTGTGGCAGCTGATGCCAGTGATGAACCAAAGCCACTGACTGGCTACCGTTTCATGAACGTGGCAGCTTTACAAACCCTGATAGAATTGCTGTTGTGTCCCGAGTGCCACAAGCGAGCGCTTGAACTGAAGGAAACCGGTATCGGAGCGAGTCTCCAGTTTGTCGTCGCATGCAGCGGCTGCGGGGAGGTTGCGAAAGCGGCACACTCTCCGCTCTTGGAATCGAGTCGCCAGCCCGAGCTGCCCGTGCGTCTTGGTGTAGCGAGTAGGAATTGTGGCATAAATTTTACGAAGATGACAAACTTTTTCGGAGGCATGGACGCCCGACCTCCCATGCACTTGAAAACATACCAAGCCGTCTCGGACAAAGTTCATCGCGCCGCGATGGATGCTGCGCGCGAAGTTATGCAGGAGTCCGCGCAAGCGGTAAGGAGAGAAAAAGAAGCAGAAGACAGTGGTGCCGTCGTTGATGTGTGTGTTAGCTTCGACGGCACATGGCACAAGCGGGGCCACACCTCACACTTCGGACTTGGGGCTGTGATTGAGCTTGACTCGGGCCTTGTGCTCGACTTCTCAGTGGCAAGCAATTACTGCCATGGCTGCAGCATCGGACCCAAGGAGAGCGAAGGTGGTCATGAGGAGTGGATGGAGACTCACAAGGAGACGTGCCAAAAGAATTTCAACGGCTCCTCAAATGCCATGGAAGTTGAGGCTGCTGGGACCATATTCAGCCGGTCCAAAGATCTGCACAACATGCAGTACACTACTGTACTAAGCGATGGAGACAGTAAGGCGTTCTTGCATGTCTCCAAGCTGAATCTTTACGACAAAGAGATAACCAAAGAAGACTGTGTCAACCACGTGGCTAAACGAGTCTTCTCTGGCATTGAGAGCATAAAGAAGAAGGGGGGCCTGGGAGGCAAGGGAAAACTCACGAAAGCTGTGGTAAAGAAGTTGACAGCTTACTATGCTGCTGCCCTCAAGGAGAACGCTCCAGACGTCAAGGGAATGCAGCGGGCCGTCTTTGCAAGCCTGCTGCACTCCTATTCAACAGACGCCAAGCCTCGACACATCGCCTGCCCTCGTGGTGAGGATTCCTGGTGCCACTACAATAGGCACCAGGCCCTGCTCGACGCTGGCAAGCCGTCGGCTCCTCAGGCCCACCGCCCAGCATTCAGCCAGGACATCGCCAAGGACCTTGTGCCACTTTACAACAGGCTGGCCAAGGCAGACCTTTTGGCACACTGTTCCAGGATGCAAACGCAGAATGCTAACGAATCATACAATGCTTTGGTGTGGAAAAGGTGCCCGAAGACTGAATTTGCGTCCCTGAAGACAGTCGAGACGGCAGCAGCCTTTGCTGTTCTAGACTTTAACGCTGGCCCAAAGGGTATCGAGCGAGTCCTGCAGAAGCTGAACATAGCTAGTGGTGCGCACGCAATCAAGCACGTGGAGCAGGCCACAAAACTGCGTGTCACGAGCACGAGTAAAGGCGCTTCAGAGCTCAAAACTGGCGACGAAGTGGCGGAAGCTCGAAGCAATCGTCACTGAGCAGCATCGAGTTGAACAGGAAGGCTCCACCTATGCCCTTGGTGCTTTCTGAGAGCATACACGCTCTTAAAATAAAAGGGGACGTAGTTGACACTTTGACTGCATTTTTCTCATTTCATGCTTTTTCAGCAAACCGCGCTCTTAGGAAAACTATCGTTTTCAGAATATGCTAGGAATATTTCTTATTGAAAGTCTTTCTGGACTGAAATTTTGTGAGGAAAAACACTGTGCTTTTCTTTTTTTAAAGTTTGCCTTCCTTCATGCTAAAAAATCAAGATTTTTAGAAATAAAGAAAAATGAAAAATATTTTTATTTTTGATTTTATGTTTTATCTATGAAAAAGGTTAAAACATTGAAAAATTACTCCACAGTTATGTGCTGTGGCCATTCCTAAGGTTATATAACACAAGAAAATTCAAAATTTTCCTTTTATTACGAAACGATAGTTTTCCTCAACAGACACACCTACTTTCATATTGTGAAATGCATAATTTCTTTCACAATTAAACTAGAATGATGAAATTCGCTACAGATGGTCTCAGTAGTGATAGAATCTCGCCCTGCAATTTTAGGTTTGTTTAAAGGAGCCGTTCAAAAGTTAACATTTTTGGGTAGTGTTCCCCCTTAATGTAGCTTTCTCAACTTTTTGCTTTTTGTTTTAAGAAAAACTGTTTTTTCAAAAAGAAAGTCCTTTATATTTCTCTCTCTATTTTTCTTTTATCTTTGTCTTTCTCTCAAGTATTTGTTTTTGCAAGTGTCTGAGGCAGTCCCTGGTGGCTGTGCAGGTGCGTGACAAGGCGCCCCTGGTGCTGTGCGAGCTGCTCTTCGACGACCAAATGCTGAGCCAGGTGGCGCACCACCGGCTTCTCCTGCTGCGCTTCACCCACGGCAACCAGCGCGCCCAGCGCTACCTCCTTGGGGGCGTCGAGCAGGCACGTGCCGGCTGTCTTTTTGTCGAGCGGGTGGCCCCACCGACCGCAACTCGATGCAAACCGGTTTCTGCCTGCCCATTCCTTGGATGTCAGTCTCGCGGAAATAGCTTTCTTGTGGTAAAGGCCGGTTCATGCGTGTGGCTCAACACCAAAATGGAACCGAGTCAGCACCGCGTTAGTGCTAGTGTCAGCACTGTTGTACATCAGAATAGCCCTGGATGATCAAAATGAGCCGTCAGTTCTTCGCCGGGGCGTGCCAGGTGCCCTCTCGTCGGTTCGGCACGTAAAACTCCCAAAATTGATTTGATTTAAAGTTTAGCTCAGGTAAGGGAGATTCTGGGTATTGGTTTTGAGTTTGCTACCCGGACTATGGTGCCTCATATGCATCTCTGACTGGTGTGTTTATCGCGTCCTCAAAAGCGGTTCCTTGATTTCCGCCCGACGACGCCGTATTGTCGTGTGTCGTTCCCCAGGTGGCGGGTTCGAATCCCGACCGAGGTGCCCGCAATATGACGGAGGCTTATTGCAGAGAAGGCGCCATGGGTAACCGAGCTTTCGGTTGCACGTCAAAAAGTCCCCAGGTGGTCGAAATTAATCCTCAGTCCTCCGCTGTGGCGTGCCAGATGCCAGTCGTTGGTTTGGCACGTAAAACCCCCAAATTTGTCTTTAGTGTCGTGTGTCGTGCCGCAATCCTGGTGGCATCGGAGCAGCAACGGTAGACGTGTCAGACGCCTGTTCTCTTGCATGTCATGCCGGCTCTTTTGTTGTCATTTGTTGCCACCCGGTGCCACTTGATGTGTGGGCAGAATAGGACGCTAAACGCACCGGTCGAAGACTCGTTCTAAGCGTCGTGTCCGGGCAGGCTTTGTGTCGGTCGGGAAGGAAGCTGATGGCCTCTCGGGGGCGCTGCAGGTGGTGCGTGAGCACAGCGCGGCCCTCCTGCCCCGGGTGCCCCACATCCTCAAAGCCCTGTATGACTCGGACGTGCTGGAGGAGGAAGTGCTGCTGGACTGGTCCAAGAAGGTCTCCAAGAAGGTGCGGACCCCTTTTGCTCTTCCCGGCTCCCGCCTCGAATTGGTGCTCTGGGGGCAACTGCACCCAATGCAGGGATGTGCTGCCAACAACTCTGGTTGTTTTAAACCATATTGAACAACTTTTTTTTTTTTTTTTATCCGCTGCAAGCATTTTAAGAACTGACTACAGTGGAATCTGCAATAAGATTTTCAGTGGAACCAAAACAATGAAACATCTCCGAAAATCGTATTAGTGTATTCCAAACGGATCTTGTTCTGATCCCGGTGGCAGTGCAATACCGCTGGTCCCAGAGGTATGCGAAGAGCAAGTCGTCTGCTTGCACAGGAGATGCGGTGACTTCAGAATGACGCCGAGCTCTGATTGGTTTCGATTGAAATGATAGTGGGTAGACCTCAATGCTAGGTGCCTTGAGGTCTACCCACTATATTTTTGATCAGCCAATAGGAGCTCGGCGTTTTGATCTCACGCAACCCCTGTTCAAGAAGCAGAGAAACTTGCGCTCCGCATAGCACTGTCTCTGGGATCGGCCACTTGTTTCATTTGTTTAAATAAGTGGGTTTTTTTTTCTTTTTTAATCTTAGTTATGTTTCTCTTCGTGGCGGCTGTGGCAATTGCAATTTCTCACAGCTGTGACCGCTGGCCGTGACTACCACAGCCACGCCGCGGGTCATTCGTGATTTATTGGAACATGATTTGAGGTAGTACACTGGAATAAAAAGATAGTTTCTTTTAATTCCTGTTAACCTACTTCAGCATTCATATTGTACAGTTTCAAGCAAAAGTATAGTTACATTAGCTGTACCCATGCACATTGCTAATATCAAAGTACTAGACCGAAATATGTATTCCGCGGGATCGTATCAATGAGATTTTACTATGTTGCGAGGCCTTTAGCGAAGTACCTACAAGTGCTTGCTCGCGGGGTGACAAGTCTGTTGTATCTCCATGCGAGGCCCCACAATATACCCAATCCCAACAACGTGAACAACTCTTCAGCATTGTCGTCCACGGCAGCGGTATCAGTGCTGCACATTCCTCGACTATACTGGCCTCATTAATAGGGTGACCTTAATAAGTAATATTAGTAATATAGAAGTCTTCCACACACAGAGAGTGTTCGAATGAACCTGCAGATGCACTACACAAAAAAGGGAAAAACTGTACTTTGTTACAAAGCAACTTTAGAGCGTATTGGTAAAGTTTACATGACTCAAACGTATGCAACACCTTTGTTGTTCCTTGTCCCGAGTTTATTTCAGTCTTTGTGTTGAGTTAAATGTACTTGTGGAAGCTAAAAGTTTCATAGTATGTATTTTTTTATAACTCTACGTCTGTAAGGAGTAAACATTCTTGGTTTTGTTTCATTCGCAAGTACCATGCATGCATGCTCCCACGAAAACGGGGCATGAGGCTGAGTTAGACCGAAAAGACGGGACGGCGAAAGTGAACCTCTAAAGGGGACTGTCCCGGTCAAAAAGGGGACTGTCCTGGCCAAAAGAGCACACGCCCTTCCGTGCTCGCTCGGTGGGCGACTATAGCGGGTCAACGACTCCGCATCGTCGCATAGCTGTGGCCACTCCCTGCCGAGACCAACTTCTTGTTGAGCGCACCCAGTAGGAGTGGGAGAGTATTTCCTGCCCTGCAGCGTGTTGGCTTTAGAGTGCTGCGAGACATGGTGTTGCCTGTCCAGTGGGCGTTTTGAAATCCGACGGAGGTTGTTTGGTTGTTCTCCAACTGCCGATTGGTGGACCCGCAGTATGTGAGCAAGGAGGTGGCCCAGGAGATCCATGAGCGGGCCAAGCCTTTCATCAAGTGGCTGCAGGAGGCCGAGGAGGAGGAGAGCTCCTCCGGGGGGGAGGACGGCTCCGAGGACGAGAATGTCGAGGTGGGAATTCCTCTCTTTCTCTCCGAGTTCTCTTTTCTATTAGCCCTCTCCGTGTTTTTTTATACCAGGTGTTTCATCAAAGGCTTTCCAAGTCTCGTAAAAATTGGGTGGTTGAGAGAAAATGAAACTCTTTCCAAGAACAAACTGCCAGCCATGGCAGACGTCGAGGATTGCAAACTTTATTTTAGTTAGCGAAATAATAAAATAAAATTTACTAATTAATCTCCTAATTAGTGAAAATAAACATTGGTTCAAATGAAAAAATGAAAGCCGTTTACAATTCCCTGTAACGTCGGTTAGAGCGCAGCTGTTGAGGAGGAAGATGGAAGCGTACTGAGGGATAGGTGACTCCTTGAGGTCACGTGACCTCGCGGTTACGGCGACGGCGTAACCGAGGTCACGTGACCTGAAGGGGTCACATGACCTTAGGGGGGTCACGTGACCTAGGGTTGTCATGTGACCTAAGTGGGTCACGTGACCTCAGGGGGGTCACGTGACCTGGGTGGGTCACGTGACCTCACGGTTACGCTGACGCCGCTCAAGCCGGAAACGGGCCTCTAAGAGCTGCGCTCTAAAACTTGCTAAGCATAATCGAAAACCACTAAATGAACTCATTTTAGAAAGGTGTAGGCTAGGGCTGCCCTGCATGGCATCACGAGAAAACGTTCAATTTGGACGCGTTTCTAGGTTTCGGTTTGTTTTCGGAGTGCATCTTTGCGCCAGCGGTCTGGCTCCTTGGCAGGGGTGGAAGCATTGTGTGCCAATCCACTCTACTCTCAACGCAACAGTTGCGCCAAAACTAACCAAAAGATTTTTTTTTTAAGCTATATGTTTTGGAGTACTTTTCTTTACTGGCCACAGTGGTTTACCGTGTTTCTAACCACCATACCGATGTGGTTGCGTCAACGTCAAAGCAGGTGACTCGTTTGATGAAAGATAAGTTGTGTGTTTATTTCCATTCCCCATACCACTGCCTTCGAAGCACTTGTTTGGGCGCGTTACCTCGTACCTTCAGGGCCACGACTCGGCCAACAACAACATGTAGTTGTCTATCTCCAAAAATGGAGTATGCAAAGGTGGCTTTGTCAAAAGTACTAGGGCATCAGTTCACTGTTTATTTTATTATTTTGTTTGGGCACGTGGCGCTAGGCACGGCTGCGTATATTCGAAATACCACAAGCATTAAATTGTGTATACCGTAATGTTTTGTACGAACACCCGCCCTCGAGAAATCACCCCTCCCGCTTTCTGGGCTGAATTTCCATAACACCAAAATTCCAAAACATTGACTATTGGAGTGCATTTATGTTTTCTACACAGGGACTTGGAATGTTTTGTATTTCCAAAAAATAACAATTGTAGTCAGTAAGTATTGGGCTTTATTTACTACCATACTATTTCATCTTAAGATGGTTTTGTTTTCAACTTATGGAACTCGTGATTTGGTTTGTTACATAAACGCAAAGTTTTGTTTTCATGAGGCTTAAGTTTTGCTTGTTTTGTTGACCCTGCTTTCTATTGGAAATTAATAAGAGGAACCAGCCCACCTCCAGGACAGTTCTCTATAGACCAACACGCGGCTCTGACGTCACGCCTCTGCGGTGGCGCTGTTGTCGCCACGGCGCATGCGCAGAAGCTTCACCTCACGCGAATCTGGTTTGTGCGCCCGCGCAGTGCCCACACCTGGTGTGGGCAAACATGTGCTTGTTTGTAAACATTGTGTCGGTCTATAGCTGCCATTCAGATAAATTGCAAGGACACTGTTTGCTTTTTATGCTACGACTAGATGCCCGCTCATTCCCGCCGCATATCGATCACGCTACGTCCGATGGGGATCGCATCAAACGCACGATCTGCAGTGTCCGTACGTGACGAGCGCGTTCACTGCTGGTTTCCTCGTCCTTATCGCACCGTGACACGCGAAACTGCAGCGTCCGCAATGTACGCCATCCGCTCCTATGACATGCAAATTCCCAACCCGTTCCCGCATATTTTTTTTTGTGATTCGCACGCGCGATATTGGTTTTTAGGACACGTGAGTGTATCGCACTGTGAAGCGCGAATGCGTCGCCAGTTTTTTTTATACAAATTTTTTCTGTCGCATTTTTTAAGGTGCAAACATATTTTTCACCATTTATCTTTTTATTTTGCGTGGGCATTCTTCCTAACTGCTGTGGCTGGCAGTTAGTTCCCGGAAAGAGTTTCATTTTTGAAAGCCTTCATTGAAGCGCCCTGTATTGTACTGCTTAGAGCCACAACATACGCTACGTCTAGAGTGTGAGCAGTCCATTCCCCGGTTTCTTTGCGAGCACCTCCACTTTGGCGCTGTGTGCAGTTTGCATTCGTTGCCGATTTGGAAGTGCTGCTTCCTGACCTTCAGATACGGCATTGGCAGGCTCAGGCAATGACACTTTGCTCTGTCGCCGTCTGTCGTAACATTTTTGGAAAATGTTAAAGCGCTTCCTGCGGTTTCAGACGACTTTTCAGGTAACTGGCAATAATAACCGTAAGCAGCAAAGATGGCTGAAATGTCGCTGCTCTGAAGCGTAGCCTATTTAGTGACTCTAATTACACCGTTACGGGCAAAGACTCGCGAGCACGCCTGTGCTGAGGCAAGTGGTTTCTTCCGGCAGGTGGTGTACTCGGACCGCCACATCAGCTCGAGCATCCAGGAGATGAAGGAGCAGCCGAAGCCGCAGCCCAAGCCAGCAGCGGGCCAGCAGCAGCCGAGGGACGAGGACGACATCGACATCGACGCCATCTAGCAGCTTTCTCCCTTCCACTGTCTTCTCTGTGTAGGCTGCTCCGGGAGAGGAAAGACAAGGCGGAAACTGATTCCAGTCAGGGTGGGACGGAAAGCACTTCTTCGGTTGGGGACAACTTTCTGGTCCAGTCGAAACAAATTATTCTCCCCTACTTTTTTTTTTTTTTCCGTTCTTTCTTTGGCATTTGATATTGGGTTTCAAACTTTTTACGACAATAGTGCTGCAATGGTTTTTGTGCAATTGTCCGCTGAATAAATTTTTTTTTTCTCTAGATATTTGTGTATGTGGTACCCTAAACAATTTCATGATGTTACAAATAAAATTTGTTCATGCTACCTTGGCCCTCTTCATGATCATCTGCATGAGGAAATTGTGCTTCTACAAGGTGCTGTGCCTGAATCGTCGATCTACTTGTCCCATTTTCGCGTCTAGTACTAGTCGATGTACTGTACAATTCACGGGTACGGACACGTTTGTCCCCAGCCCCCCGGCTGGCTAAAGCTATTCGGTGGTCATTTAATATTTGTCTTCCTTTACTAAAAAAAAAAAAAAGATTTCAGGGAAGGGGGTTGATTCCCAAGTCACTCCCCTGCCCATGCCACTGGAGTGACGGAAGGATTTAGGAATTGAATTCTCCAAATGCCCGACGGAACAAAGGTTAATAATTTCAACAGCTTACATTTCGCATGTTTTATTATAGCCTTTGTATGATCAAGTCTAGGCAAATTGTCTGTGAACTTGCAGCCCAGCCTACAAACTCTGTGGGGCAGCACATGCAAGCTTTCCATTTTTGAAAGACAATGCGCTCTCCACGCACACTCACGCCAGCGTGCGCGACGCATAAGAGCTGAGGCTTGTACGTGGTGCTCTAAGGCGAGTATTTTATGACTTGCTGCGATCATTATATTGGGTGTTTGGAGATAGAATCTATTGGTCAGGCTCGATTAAAAAAAAATCTAATGTGTTGGAGCATTACTGGCTGTGCCTGTGTCGCTTCAGCTGCTAAATAAATAACATGTTTAACAAAGAATGACATGCTCAGAGTTAGTCTGTTGCTGCAGTTCAAGTAGAAGCTTGCACCAGAGAGAGAGAGCGAGTAAACTTTATTGTGGAAATGGAGTTTTTCATATCCCAGACCTATGCGGAAGCTTGCACCGCAGTTTACGCCTGACAGAGTCGCAACCCTGGACTACGAAATATTTTTTAAAAAATTGGTATTCTAACGCTTTTGATATTTGCTCCCAGAATAATGATGTCGTCCTTGGAAAACACGATGAAAGTGTAATCGTCGAGAGCAATTGGCTAAAGGTAGGAATTGCTGGTTTCCCCGGTTCTTCCACAGGGTTCCATGCATTAGCCGGTGTTTACTCAATTTCAATGTTCAATTTCAAAGAAATTGAACATCACCTAGCACAAAGTCACTGGGGATGGCATGAGCGCTTCGCTCTGACCAGTGCTTTGTTCACACGAGGAGTGGCTTTCGAATTATTCGATTTCTCTCGTCAAAAAGAAACAAGAAAATTCGGTTTGTTCCCCCACAGCTGAAGTGTACACTTCTAGAGGTGGTGTATGCTTCAGCTCCTTAAATCAGTAGAGTCTAGTCGCTAAAACTGATGGGGATTTCAGTTAACCAAAAATCTGTCATTCCCCGAAATTTTTTGGTCGCGGTTCTTTTAGGAGCAGCCAGCCTCCATACCGTGTGTCCCAAATAACGGCCAGGCTCTTGAAATCGACCTCGAAAATCGGTTTCTTAACCTATCGCGTTCCGATCTTGTACAGCCTTGACCACAAGTGGTGCATCTTTTCTATAAAATTTGCAAAGAGCGAACTTACCTGTGGAAAAAGTAAAGAAAGAAAAAGGTTTAGCTCCTATGGAAAACGCAGTGAAGCCACCGGTCTCCAAACCAAACCCTATGGTTTGAAGACCGATGGCTTCGCTGCGTTTTCAAAGGGAACCGCTACGGGCGCCGAAGAACCTTTCCTCGGCCTCGTTGTCTCTGTCGGAGAGAGAGAGGTGACATTCCTGAGACCGAAGTTGACGACTTTGGTGAGCCGGGCGAGTGGTCCTTGCTCCTGAGAGGGAAATCGGGATGCCTCCTCTCTTCCTCTCCTTCCCGCTGTCTCTGCGGTTTACTTTCCCCCAGTGTTTCTCCCGGGGCCTTGTCTTGCCCCCCTCCTTTTAAATTTCCCTGAAGACGAAGCGTCCGGCAGTAAATCATTTGTTTGTTGAAAGTTGAAAGACGTGTTGTCCCGTCCCCTGTCTTTACGTATATAACTCTTTCTAAACTTACATCATTACCAACGCCCTCACTAACAAGTAGAAAAAAGAGTATCCCGACCTGTTCAAAAGAAGGGAAAGGAGGAACGGGGAAATGTCAGCCCTTCTCACCCGTTCCTCCTTTCCCTCCTCTTGAACACGTTGGCATACGCCCTCTCCCGTGCAGCTTTGGCTGTACTGCCAAGTACTGCACGGTTTTGCGTTGTTTTGCGTCTCCGCATGGAGAGGGGGAGGAAGTAAAGTTGGAGGGAGAGGTGAGAGGGCAGTGCGGAGACGGAAAATAACAAAAAATCCTTTGCCCCCCCCCTTCCCCACCACCACCACCACCACCCCGCCCAGGGCCGTACCCAGAAAAAAATTTCGGGGGGGGGGGGGGGGGGGGGGTTTCGGGGACAACGGCGGCCATTTTGAAAATGTCTATTGTCCGGTCCCGGTTTGGTACCCGGTAGCCGACCGGTGCCACTGCGCGTGCGCAGAGGTGGAGATTAAAAGCGGCTGGCTGCAAGTGCACCGACCAGGGCAATACCCAGAAAAAAATTTCGGGGGGGGGGGGGGGGGGGTCAGAACCCCCTAACCCCCCCCCCCCCCCTGGTTACGGCCCTGACCCCGCCCCTTCTCAACGCTTTTGAACAGGGTCAACTGTATGCACATCCAGCTTCTCAGGAAGAGAAGCCCAACCCCCAAAGCATTTGACGGTACGCTTTTTATCAAATCTTGCTAACTTTTTTCTTTCTTGCACAAAAGGTGCAACATAAAATAGCACGTCAATACAACACAGATAGCCCATGCACTTGTTGGCGAACTAAAGTTCTCTCATATTCTCAATTGCGTCGAAGAAGAACGCACATTCGGACGCAGTCTCTGAACTTCTGCAGTACACGGACTGAGCCTCGATGACAACATCACTAAAGGGCTTGTCTACAGATTAGATATTGGGGTCGGCGTGTCGATGTTCCATCCGCGCCCCCCTTTTAAAATTATTTTAGATTTTTCCATTCATTTGAACACATCACCCTTCGTTCATGGAACGCGGTTCTCGTCTGACAAAAGGCTCGTGTTGGGCCACTGCTCGCATGTTTACTAAAAGCCACCGCCGGGTTTCGCTCGGGGCGCTTGATGGTGTTAGGCCGAGCCTGGTACTCATAGAAAGGGTTGGGGGCCTGGAAATCGATGTGTCAATAAAAACTTAAAATACCGGGTGTCCGCGAGAAAACCGAACCATGTTTTTCTCACCGCAAAAATAAACTAGACATTGCGGAGAGCTCAAACTTCGTCCGAACGTAGCATTCGAGCGCTCGGTCGGCCGCAATTTTTCCATTGCAATTTTCAGAAAATCAATTATAAGTTATGATCATTTTTTTTTTTTAATTTCAATGGAAAATGGCGGCCTCCGGAGCTCTCAATATATGAAGCTCTATGGCACCAGAAAAACCAAAAACGGGCGAAAATGGGCCCCGTATTCCTATCGAAAATTTTAGAAAATCAGTTATAACTTTTGAATAAGATAACGGTTGGTGCTGAAAGTTTTTTTGCATCTTGCTCGAACGGTTGAGGCTACGTTCTGACGAAGTTTGCGCTCTCTGCGATGTCTAGGTTATTTTTGCGGTGCCAAAAACAGGGTTTGGTTTTTTGGCGGACGCCCGGTGCAAAGCAATCAAAACCACTTTATTCGGATGCATAATCAATCACGCCGATTAAGTCAGACTTAGTATATTCCTTTCGTATATGACGTGTTCGCGTGCCGCCAGTTCTTCAAAAAGACCTTTCGGGTGAAGTGTGAGAGGTCTTGGAAGTGCTTCGCAAACCTGAAGCTTGGTCACTTGCGGTTCTCTTGAAATCACCTCAGGTAATGGCGGATGGACTCAGCCTCAAACTAGATATTGGGAAGCAACAGTAAAATGAACTGATTATACATTTCCGTTATACACGCTTTCTTTTTTTTTTTTTTTTTTTTTTTTTTTACGAAGCAGGTTTTAATTTTATTTGCCAGTAGCTTTTCCTATAGTAACAGACTGCTGGAAATGGCACGCTCCGGTGAAATGCTAACAGTGTAGCCACTCACACGGTCAAATCGGCCGTGGCGTTTTTTACATTTCACCGAAACGCAGAACTCAAAACTAATCGTTGTGAAATTGACATGAATATCCTTACCGTGTTCTTTTGTTCATCTTTATTTACAAAGGAATGTTACCCCGGATGGCGGGCGAGGCTGAAAGAAAAAAGACGAGAGTCCGTACGCTTGTGCGTCTGCTAGCGTACGGGCTCTGCCCATACGCTAGCAGACGCTACCGACAGAAGACACTAAACTAAAGCACAGCGTGTCACAAAAGAAAAGTAGCGTTTTTTTAATTTTTTAATTTTAAAAATCAACTACGCATATCTGAATGCCCAGTGTAGTTGCTAGCAGTTCGGATCAAAAGCCAAAGTTTCAGCCGTTATCTGATTTAAAAAGTTGTGATGCGTACGAGAGGACGAAATTCGCGTAGAATAAAGTCGCGCAGAATATAGTGGCTGAACTTAGCACTAAAGGTATGAACGCTGATATTTCAAAGTAGTAACTAGATATGATTCACACGTTTTTGAGTATAAAGTGGTATGGCCATTTTTCTTTTATAGGTACCTCAATTCTTCTGTTCAAGCGGATCTGAATCACATTATAGAATTTTTTTTAATTAAAAAAAGCGTAAACATACAACGAGCATTCTTTCAAGAATTGCTCTACAACTGACCAAATAAGCATAAATTCCTGAATTTTGGAACTCTTCTTTTTTCGGCAATTAATTCTCATTTGCATGGTACCTCCACCGCGCTAACTTCCAGTAAATGACAGGTGCAAGCTGCACTATTTTTTCTGCTGTTCTTTCTTCTAAAAACAGGAGTTAAGGCTAGATTAGTGGGCACCATCAATCAAGTTTATTTTCTTAACAGCGCTACTGCATAGACTGCATAGACATAAACATGTGAAAGAATTAACAAAGAAAAGTCAACTTTATTGTTTGATTCAATTTTTTAGTTTAAAGGCAGAGATGGAATTAGTACGAGTAGAAAATATGCACTCGAAATGATATATCTAAATGCATCGTGCCGAGCCTCCGATCGTTTTGCGTACAGTATCTTTTGGTCGACGGGAAAGTTTAACGGATGAAATGGTACAAGATAAACCCGCACGTACAGTGCAAGGAACATGCATGAATGTTCTCGTCGCAAAGCCCCAGGCCACATCCCTCGTAAATCGCCTGCCGAAGCCGCGAGGTGGCGCACCGAAGAGTTGGTAAAGGTAAATAAATGGGTGCGAATAATCGTTACTGGATCAACTCGGTTGACAAACTCTCAACAAGACAGATTTCATTTTTAAACTCCGATATTTTTGTCCCCTGTAACCTGAGGAACGTCTCGGCCAGGGTGTAAGATAGACAGGTGGGGAAACGAGAGCCAAATGAGTGACCGGATTGTGTACCCCTCGGCTTTCTCTTTTTCTGTGGCGCCATCTGTGTGGAGCACCGCGAACTGTCACTCCGGGTGGGCGACCGGTGGCGACCGGCTAAACTGACAGAGATGGTTTCTCGTGAATTTTCAGTGGAGGACTGTCGTGCTCTCGGTCTATTTTGCGCACTCTCCCATAGAGTTCCACGCAAATCCGATTCTTTTTCCTTTCGCCGCAGCGCCATCTGTTGCAAATCTGGGGTACCCGCAAGCAGACGAGTACACAATCCGGTCACGGCGCTGCGGTAGGCTTCTATGGGCCGTTTCCCCACCTGTCTATCTTACACCCTGGTCTCGGCATCCACAGTGAAGAGAGAACAGCCGCAGCCTGCAAAGGAGGGTGGCGCTCCAATCGCTTGGCGACGAACATTGGGCGAGCGAACGGGCTCAACTTCTGCGAGGATGTGTCCATGGAAGTTTGTCAACCTACACTATCCAGTTACGATGATGATTTTAAAACAAAAACAAACTAAAAATTAAATCGCCGCAAGTAGTCGAGCTTGAAATCCCCTTTTCCCGCGGCCTCCGCCGGTGAGAAACGAGCCTTCCAAAAAGGACAAGTGAAATAAAATTTCCACTTTATCAACAAGAACCGTACAAGTCGTTCTTGATCAAACCTTCTCTCGTACCGAAAAAGCGCGGTGTTTTAAATCTATAGCTATATAGATAAGCATTTATTAAATACAAAGAACATCACCGGTGGACACTATTAAAAAACAAAATAATATATTAGCTGCCGGAAACTCAACAAGAAACAAGCCGCAATAGAACTCTAATGCAGTTTCACCGCCTCACGCTTCAAATGAAACATACAGCAATGTACAGCTTTACCTTAAAATGTCCTATCGGGAATCTCGTGATTAATTTGACTCCCAGAAATTGACGTCTCGAAAACGCGTAAGTGTTTTCTGCGGCAAAAAACAAAACTTTGGGAAGTTTGAACACAAGACCAAGCCCGTACAACCAAAACACGGGACAATTGTAAAAGTTTGACGTCATAGAGGGAGGGACGCGCCCTAAAACCAGAGCCACACCGCTCACATATCGTACGTTAACACGATCTGCAGAGAGTGTCTGAGACGTGCAACTTCCTTGCACGAAGGTCCTGTATAATACTGGTCATACAAAAAAAACTGTCTGCAGGGATGTTCTCCTGTCTTTTGTATGATCTAGGAGCGGTGTGACTGTGGGTCGAAGATTCTGGTGGGACCCTGAAAACGAAGAGCATTTATGCCGAGGCAACGGCATTCGCAATAACCTAAAAACACACTATACATCCTTTTTTCTTGTACGAAGAGATACCTTGCCTGCGTCTGAGCCCTCTGGGATATTGAGAACTCCGTGCTCCTGCGGGCTCACGGTCCGAAACACCGACGCACACGAATTTCACGGGGAGGGCCCAGTCGCTCGTCTGGCATCGACCACCGCACACATGCCGCGCACACTGGGAGAACTTGCGCCGCGCGTGCGGGGCGCGTGCGCGGGAACATCCGGGCACTGGCCGACTGGGACACTCGCAGGGTCACACACACGCACACAGACTGTCTCGTGCCTCGGGAGCGCGGAGGGCGAACTAGAAGAGATTGACTAGAAAAGCACGGTGTGAGGCTGCTGCTGCTGGGGGTCGGGGCCCCTACTGGAATTGGCCGCCGGCGTGGATCGAGGTCAGTCCGGGGAGTTGCCGCGGGACGACTCGCTGCCCGTGGTCTGCAGGTCGCTTGGGGACAGCGGCCTGTACCGGCGTCTCCTGCGAGCCGATGACGGACAAGAAAGGCGGTTACTCATGCGGGACCGCCTTCTGTGACTACAACCGGAGACAGGTTAAAGACCGACGACCAGTTCGCGCTTTCCACTTTTCCCCCGCTGTCTCCTCTCCCTCCTCTACCCTGTCCACCGTTGCCCGTTTCCTCCTCCCCCGTAGTGAGGAGGATTTTCTGCCTCGCAGAATATCGAGTCTGGTCGTCGGCCTTTAAGAGTGCAGGGGAAGCTCCTCCAACCCCTTTCCACCTTAGCAGAGGAGGTCACCTCCTCTCCAGCCTTCTGCTAAAGTGAAAAGAGGTGGGAGGAGCTTCTTCTGAACTCCTAACCTGTCACCGACTACAGACTGGTAGTAGACACCCGCGAGGCCAAGTTCCGAAGTTTAAATGCAATAGCGGGGGCATATAAATAATAAACCGTAGCTCCCAGTGTTACTCCACAATGAAACACCCAAAACTTAAAAAAAGACAACCACACAACACACGGTTTCAAATGGGTGTGTGTAATTGTCTGTTTTTTTTTTTTTTTTACTTTGTTTTTAGTTTTAGGTTGTCTGCGTTTTTTCCCTTTCATCTTTTGTGTTCACCGGTTCTTGTCCCGAATAAGCTACGAACCATACGTGAGAACAGGGAAACAGAAGGTACGATTACCCCCTCCCCGGGACATTTTTTTAGAATTCTATAGTACCATTTGATAGTACACAATGCAGGAAAGAGAGGGCGATCTCTTCCCCTTATCACCTTTTTTCAAAGACTTCCGACGGTAGTGCAGAAAACATTTGAGCAAGCTGCATTAGAAAAATTTCTAATCCATTGTTCCGAGGCGTGTAAGTACAGTCCGAAGCGTTTCTCTTCAGAAAGTACTCACGCTCCGTGTTTGGAAGTCGATTGGGCACTGCCGATTAAACGAATCTTCCCTTCGTTCTGTCGTTCTTGTGCCGCAAGGTAGTATTACGACAGCAAGGAAAACTGGCAACGTTGGTGGTGCCACCACTTTTACCCAGTGCCTACAGCATACTGTCAACAAAAAACATGCAAAAGCATAGTGTGAATCAAACTACTGCTCGAGCTGAGAGAAGCTCTTTCATCTGAGCAAAGAAACATGAGCCCTGCCACCAGATTTCGATTCCCACGCACCTGGCCGGCACGCAGTGGTTGGGCGGGGGGTTTCCGGGCGGCGGCTGGGGCTCCCCCCGGGGGGTCCAGGAGCGCGCCATGGGCACCGGGTGGGGCGGCGCCGGGGCCCTCTCGGGGGTCCGCTGACGCGCTCGGGGCCGAGGGATGCGCGACTCGCCACCCCTGTCCGGAGCAGGGTCGTCCACCCCGACGGTGGCCGTGAGCTGGACCACCACGGGCACGTGGAGGATGCCACCCCAGCGGTCACCCGGGTGTCGACCGCCGTTCACCACGAGCCCCGCTGAGCTGCTGCGCTGTACCTCGCGCCCCACGCCTAGCGAGCTCTGCTCCACCATGGACTTGGGCCGCCGGCGCGCCAGCAGGCTCCGCCGTGCCACTGGGATCCGCGACGGCAGTTCGTCGGCGGACCGGCCGCCGCCGCCGCCGTCGTGCAGGCCCAGGAGCCGGAAGGCCTCGGGCAGTTCGCACAGGCTGATCACCGACATCTGGCGGTCGTCCCGCGGGGGCGTCTCGTACTCGTCCTTGGAGTTCTCGTCGTCCGCGTCGGTGCCCGAGCGTCGGTACTGGCGCCACAGCGAGGTCTCGATGTTGCCCATGGACCAGCGGTCTTCCCTGGGCGCCGGGGCGTCGAAGTAGACCGACTGCTCGTCGGACTGTAGCCGCGTCAGTACGCCGTTGGCCGACGGTGCCCAGGGTCGCTCCGGGGTCTGCGGGTCCCTCGACTCATTCGCTGAGGCGCCAGACACGTCGTCCCTGCGGCTTCCTAGGGAAGAGGACCGCTCCACGCTGGGCTTCTTCAGGATGCCCCGGGGCAGGGCGCTGGCCGACCGCTGCACGGACCTGCTCTCGGTGACCGACTCGTCCGGACCCCTGGCCTCGGGGGCTTCCTCTTCGGACGTGCGCAGGTGGATGGAAGGGAGCGACGCCCGGCGCTCCTCGGTCTCTTCGCTCGACCGCGCGGCCACGTTTCGCGCCACGTCCACCTCGTACACGTTGTCATCGAACGAAGCCTGCTGGCGCAGCGGCGGTTGCAGGTGGGACCTGATGTGGAAGGCCATCGATGGACAGCTCCACACGCGCGGTAGCCCGAGCGGCACGGGGCCCTGCAGCGGGAAGCCCGCAAGGGTGACGTGCGGGGGCCGCTCGGAGCCCGCTGGATTGTGGGATAGGGCGCGCCGCACGGTCTGCTTGGAGTCCTCAAGGATGACCATGCGACCTTCTTCGAGTCGCTTCCGCCTCTCGTCGTCCTCTTGCCCGGCCGCCTTGACCGGGGCCAGCTTCTCGAGAGCGAAGCCCGACGAGTCCCGCTTGAGAACGCGGTGTTCGGGCGACGGCGCGTTGTCGTCCATCTCGTCGTGGTCGGTCTCCTCACTGTCGTCGAAAGAGGCCTGCCACTTGGAGGCCAGCGTCATGGCGGCCGCGGCGCCTTTGGTCACCTGCTGCATCGCCGAGATGTTGTCGTCATCTGCTACCGCGAACTGCGTGAGGGACACGTCGCGGTGGTACGGCCTGCGGTGCAGCCGCCGGTACTGCCGCTGTTCCGTCGGAGGAGCCTTGGGGTCTGTAGGAGGCGTGATTGCCGGGGCCTTGGGGACATCTTCGGGCGGGGCTTGCTCTGCCGGCTCTTTGGACGATGGCTCCTGGATGACGCCTTCCTCGTCGGTGGGCTTCTCCTCGAAGTTGCTTCCCGCGTGAAGCTTGAGGGGCAGTTCTTGCCGAATCGGAGCCGGCTCTCCCACGGGTGCCTCCTGAGGTGCCACGGGAGGACCGGCGTCCACTTGTATCCGTGGAGGCGGCTGTGGCCGATCGCTGGTCTCGTTGCCGTGGCCGTTTTCGACGCCGGAGTTATCCGCCGTCTTTTCCTTGACGACGATCTTCTGGAACGACAAAGTGGCGAGCTGTGATTGTAGAGTTTAAATATGCGTCGGGATCATCGATTTCATCGACAATCCCTACGCATAATGCCGAAAAGCAAGGCTACAGATTAGTCAGGGACCGGGATCGACCGAATTATGATCAATATCAAGGGAGTGGCATGCATACGTCTAAGGTTTGTTCCACGAGCTGCTTAGATTCTTGGATCGGCCGGCCTATTATTAAAGGCATAGCATTTATAGGGCAATCTCTTAGCTCTTTTGTGTCAGTGGGATGTTGCCTCGATGGCGACGTCACGCCGATGACGTCACGGTGTTCACGTGACATTGTGTGTTTTAAAAAAAAGTACACCGTGACGTCATCACGCGAACACCGGGACGACGACGCGGTGTTCACGTAAACTTCTCAACGTCTTTGCCGTCATGGTGTCACGCCAAGTGGCCTGACGTCACGGTGTTCACATTACAGCATGATCTGACACTGTGACACCATAGAGTCACGTCAAGTGGCTTGACGTTACGTGCTCTGACGTGACGTAACTATGATGTCACAGAAGACTTAAATGCTACATATTTAGAGCGCCATTGGGATATACCAAAGAAACAGCCAAACAGGCAGTTCTTCAACTTCGAGAGTACATGGAGCTCGCTCGATACCTCCTCATATTCCGATCACTACGTGCAGAACAACGACACAAAGCTCTTACACGGAGCAACTGAGCGCCGCCATGAGAAGTCGATTGCATCCCCGCTGGGGGGCCACTCCCCGCAAAACGAAAGCGACCTCACCTTTGGACAAAGAGGGGATTCCTCCGGACCAACGTACCCCCCTTACTTTCTCCACGTGGTTCTCAGTCGCATCCGACGGACCTTCCCTTGCTCCGTGTAACAGCGCGGACAGCATGCACCTAGCTCCTCGGGCAAGCTAGGACGTGCACCTCCAGAGGACGTGTGCCTCCGTGGCCATCGCAGAAAGGTTCCGTGCTTTGTCACCTGCAGTTCCTCCCGGGACAGGACGTTGTTGTTCCGGTTGTTGTTCTCGGTGAGGGCGGCGGGGGCCGGTCCGGGGACCCTCTTGAGGCCCTCCCACGGGGGCCGGATGTGGGCATCCGGGGGGACACCGTCCCTGCTCGCCGGCTGGGGCTGCTGCTGTGGCTGCCGCTCGTCCGCACGTTCCTCGTAGCTGGCCATCACGTTCTCTTCTAGTTGGTTCTCCGTGGCCCCGACACCACCTTGCGGAGCGCTCCTGCGGTCGACACACACAGGCATTCAGGACCTTTGTTACACGGACCGGGTATATCGGTTATATCGGTCTTGAACAAAAAGTAAGGGCGCAAACGAGCTGGTGTACATTGCACATGGTTGAAAAAACCCCGAGACTGCGGGTAAACGACACAACACTAAAAAGTCTCTACAAGAGACTTTTTAGTGTTGTGTCGTTTACCCGCAGTCTCGGGGTTTTTTCAACCATATCGGTCTTATCGGTTATAGGCCGATTTGACAAATCATCTCTCAAAAGACGGCTCGGAGCAGCTAAGTATATCTTCTTTTTCTCACTAAGATTATCACGGATCATTAAAATACTTTGTATTTTGATGAAAAAAAAAAAAAGCAATCTTGGTACCTTACTGAAAAAAGTAATCTTAGTAGCTCACTGATAAAATTAATCGTGACTGACAGGTTAAAGGGCTACTCCACCGATTTTTTCATTGTCTCCGATTTGCTTCAAATTTTGCTAAACTAACCAACAAACATCGCGAAAATAGTATCCCAAATATTAGGTCAAAATATTGTTTTTTCGCGAAGTTATTGAATTTACAGTTTTGGTCCTCACCGTGTTTTTCAAGCTCGAAGTGTCTACTGGCAACAATGAAAAAGTGACGTCAGTGGAAGGCAGGGGTTCACTTTTGGGCTGTAGATTTTGTTTTAAACTGTTTCGAAGCAGTTTCATGGTGTCAAATGAATGCTTGGGAAGCTCGCTACAGTACCCGCGCTCCAGCACGGAGCAAATGATCGGCATATTCTATTTTTTGGCTGCTTGCTCGACTGGCAAGCCTGCCTGCCACTGACGTCACGGCCCTGAAAAGCGCGCGTATATTTAAATGTTGGTTTTTGCATCATTTTCATTTGCCGATTTCGCAATAACTATTATGAATTTCGCGATTCTAAATAGCATACCGGAGAGAGTAAAGGCCGGGGGTCAGAAAATATAGTTAGTTGAGGTAGCTCAAAAAATCGGTGGAGTACCCCTTTAAGGAACGTCGATGGCCAGTCCCGAGTTTCGATTCGAACTGCGCATGCGCTACCCTAGAAGACTCGCACATGCGCAGTGCGTAACAAAGGGCTCATCGTACCGTAGCAGATGTGAAAAAACGGTTCCCTAAAAAACTCTTTTATCGCCCCTGAATCGACGAGATTCGGGAACGATAAAAAGGCCAAAGAGGGAAGGGAAGCAAGCGGGGGAAGCCACACCCAGCCTGGGCCACTACATCAGTCACTACACCTCTTTCCGGCGTTTATCACCCAGACAAAAAATGCCGAGTGAATGGGCCGTGGACGCGTGCGCGGTGTGTGATAATCCACCAACAAGATCTACTGTCAATTAAGGCTATGGTCAGAACGCGCTACACAGGCGTTAGACAAAGATGGCAGCAGGCAAAAGGCGACGAAAGTGATCTTATATGTATAGGATTCCGTGTTTTCGGAGCTTATTTCTCGTGAAATTCGCAGGGCGCTTTTCGGAGTTTATTTTTCGCTGAAAATTCGGGGTTTATCGGAGTTTATTTTCGGGGGTGGCGATGCGGGCTACTTGGTTCATGCTTAGAGGATTCGACACAGCGCAGAAGAAACGAAGACAAAGTAGAATCGTGTGCACAGGACAAACGCTTGTTAGATTCCCAGTTCCTTGAAATTCAAAATTTCTTTTAGTGTGTCCCTAAAAGAAATAATGCTGTGCCATGACCCGTTGTCCTGAAGGAACCTTGACGAGCTCAAAGGCAACCCCTTTTGTCAGTACTAGATTTCAAAGGAAATTGAGGTCATTTCCTCTTATAAAGTTTATTTCTAAAACACCTTTTTTATTTTTTTTTTGTCACTGTGACCTCAAAATTTAGTTCTTTAGATACATTCGAACTGACGTAAGATGTACCGGCGAGTGTTTTACGGATTTTTACGGATTTATTTGTAAACACGCAACCCTACTTATATGCCAGTGATAGTAAGATATCTACAATAAGTACCTCAGCGATGGACGTGTATTAGCTATTTCTGGACGATACTTGAAGTTTCCAAATCAGAGGCACCTGGGAGTGAACTCCAAGCTGGCGGGGGTCGTATATTCCGACTCTCATTTCGAAATGCTCGCATTGACAGGTCTGTATTTTTTCTGTCCCTGTCAGTCCCGGACGTCACTCAAGGGGCCCCATAAAAAACACGAGGCCCGTCTGGCTGGGACCCAGGGCTGGGACTCCGCAAAGGGCAGTGGGGATCGCTCACCCCGGTTGCGCGGGCCTCGACCCCAGCGTGGGCGTGAGGGCGGGCGCCGTGGTGGTCTGCGAGTTGTCGGCGTAACCCTTCTCCCAGTCGAAGGGGTCGCAGTCCCGCACCCCACGCCGCTTCATGCAGTGCTCGAAGAGTCCCGCCAGCACGGGGTAGTCCGGCCGGTCGTAGTACTCCAGGGACGAGATGTGGTCCAGGAACTGCCGGAAGTCCGATGGGAGGTGCTTGAGCAGTAGCCGGTGGTCGTACTTCTCTTTCATCAGTCCCACCTGCGAGACGCCAGAGACGCGCAACGTTGTTTTACGAAAATCTTGCTCGAGCGCGTTGTGCCGTAGCCTCCTCTATACTCGCAAAGCTTGGCAGTTTGACGACAGAGCTATAGAGTGCCCGCGGTCGCAGATTTGGAGCGCGAGGATCTGGTAGCACAGAGCATTTCTCGGGGAAGATGGTATTTGGCGCACAGCTTTTGCAGCGGTGAGGATCCGAAACATGGTTTGCAAACCAGACGAGAAAAGAAGCGGTAGCGCGAGGAACGCGAGGAGCACGAGCGGACATTCCATCGCTCGGGAGAAGTGTGTTTCGGCGTCTCGCCGCAGCGGGGCGCCCGTCACGTGGCTCCTCCTCTCATCCGTTGTCTGCCGCTCTACCTTTTCAATTTCGGAGGCCGCTTATCGTGGCGATCTGCCAGGCTTTGTTAGTATAGAGGAAGCTATAGTTGTGCGAACGAAGCGGTATGCTGAGCCTCTCTTTCTGGCGATTGTGCCTTTGACAGCGCTGCGCAGCTTTAGCGCAGTTCCAAATTGTTCTTCCTTTCACCATAGCTTGGACGACCAGAGAAAGGTCAAATCCTTGGAAGGCGGTGGTCACGCGTGTGTTAACTCGACCAGCGGAAGTAGCGTGCAGGAACATGCGCTCGCGCCTTCTATATGCCCTATAGCCGTAGTATGGTTATTGGTCTTCGGTGGGAAGAAAGACCGCTTTTGATAGGCATTTTGTCATGCCCCTTCCGTTTTCTGTTTTTTAAATTTTAAAATAAACAAAGAAATGGTGCTGCTTAGCACGAGAGAAACGACAAATGACACTGGAGGTCAGTAGTTTTACAGACCGTGGAAGAAAATAAGTCTATGCAAATTCCTCGTTCTCCGGAGATCCGCACTGTCCTTGCGCATCGAACTCCGTGCGGTGCGGTGACATCTCACCTGCTCCTTGTCTTTGATCTTGCGCCACGGAAGCTGCCCGTTTACGAACTCCACGAGCATGTAGAACAGGGACCAGAGATCGTCGTGCCTTCCCATCTCCTGCGTCACGACACACGAAGGGCGTTAAAAGGGAGGCCGGCAAACGGACATTGCGGCCCTAGCGCCATTGGCTGCATCCCCTTTACGCAAGAAGAGGCCCGATAACCCGACCCCGAAATGACGACAGCAGCCGTACCCCTGCTCAAAGCTCGACGTCACTGCAAAGTTTGCACAGTTTGCGCGCATTCTTAGTTGAAGCTCTCGTTGTATTTGGTTGTTTGTTTTTCTGGCGGCCGTGTCTCGTAGATCACGATCATTTGTCTTTTTGGCTTGTTGGCACGTGCTCAGGTCAAGCACAAAAAACGCAGTACCATCCTTTCCGACCGAGTAAAATAATAGCGTAAAATATGTATCTGTGATAATTGGTGCCTCTAGTAAAGAAACAAACAAGAAAACTAACACACGATTACCTTCTACTGCTAAGGAATCGGGGGGCACGACATACACTCTCGGAAGTTCTTGATTATGGAGTACTAAACTTGACGCACTCAAAACACCGATCAGCCGTCTTCATCCTAGATAGGTACTTATTCAAAAAAGAATTGACTTGTGTGTATGTTTATACAACCGGAAGTTCGTCTGCCTCAGTGGGCGTCTGGTGTTTCAGATTTAGATGAAAAATTTTGCCAGCCGCTAGCCCTGCCATTTCAACGTGCACCATGCAGTAGGGGGGGACTGCACGCCGTTACGATGCTCATCCGGATCGAAACGGGCAGGGCTGGGGATTGAACCCAGGATCCCTGGGTTCTGCAGCGCGAGCTTTCGCTCCACGTGCTCCGAGCTGGTGTGGCTGCAGTCCATAAGTAACGAGAAAGGCTTTAGCGCCTTGTACCACCGAAACCGCTTGGCCATTGGAGGACGTAACCAATCGCAGTTCTTATTGGCTGATCTGGTTAAATGGAGACCTGTGATTGGAGTTTTAAAGGTAGGTGGTATTCATTGGTCGCCATAGCTGAGCCCGTTGTTACTGAGTGCGTGCTCACGGCGAGCTTCTGAGTGTGTCGCGGTGAGGGTACAGAGCGCGAAACACTTCGCACAAACAAGCGATTGCCGGTCTTTTCCGCGTTCCTCTTCCAACTCGGAGGCTGCCACAAAAGCTACTATAGTCAGATACAATATGAAAGATTAAGGACGTTTACAAATCTGTGTAATGCGAATTAGAATACAGCTTTTGAGGAGGAGGAGGGGAGGGTATGCCCCTCCTCCTCCGTACCCTCCCCCTCCTCCTCCGGCGTACCCTCCCCCTCTTCCTCCTGCGTACCCTCCCATCTTCGCAGTTTCACCGCTACATTTACTGAAAAATTGACGTCACGTGACCTCAACACCACTTCAGTTTCCCCGCAATATTTAGCGGAAAAAATGACGTCACATGACTTCATGTCACGTAACCCATGAACAAATTTTCTCCGCTAGAGTTAACGGGAAAATTTACGTCACGTGAGCTCAACACCAATTCAATTTCCCGCAAAATTTAGCTGGGAAACTGAACTGGTGTTGAGGTCATGTGACGTCAGTTTTACCGCTAAATTTAGCGAGGTTACGCCGACGGCGACGGCGACGCCGTTATACGCGGAAACGGCCACGCCTGAAAGCCGCCCTCTAAAATGAGCCAAATAAACACCACCACGTACCAGACACGGCATGGAATCATTTCACTGACCAACCAGTAAAGACAGTAGTGATGACGAATTATATGACGACGCGCTACATATCAAAACACAATAACCTCCGTAGCGGACTATTTTCTCATCGCGGAGGAACAGCGACTGGTGGTGATGTTTAGGGCGTGTTCTTAACTTGTATCTGAGTAGCGTGGTGAATTGTGCTTACCGTAGAGTGTCAACTCAGATGGAGCGTCTGTCAATGTCACTCCCTCCACACAAAATGCAAAAAAAAAAAAAAAAGAAAAGAAAAATCTGAATTGTTAGGCAAGTGTGTTGCAAACGTGAAATGTTCTAGCGTCACAAACGTTTAGCGATACTCTGAGCTTCTCGTGTGCAGCGCTAATAAACCTGGCAATCTTCCAGAGCCGTCCATACCCTCCAGCTTCTCTCTCTCTCTCAGTGCGCACATTTGGTGGAGATCCTCTTCGCCTACCCCTCTGGTCACGTGACCTCCCCCATTAACCAATCAGCATCGAGCTCCGCGGCCACGCTTATCAGGCTTCACGAATAGCAGATCACACATCCAAAAAACGCTTAAAAACTGCCGACGTTAGGTCCGCGCTAATTATGTCGCGCGGTGTACGGACTACCGAGGTCCTCGTTGCAGGGTTCGGACGTGCGTTCACCTTGTTCCGGTGGGCGTTGACGGAGGCGTAGCGAACGGTGCCCCGGAACCCGGCGGCCGCCCTGGGGGGCCTGACTTCCCCGGTGGTGGTCACGTACTGCCGGGCCAGCCCGAAGTCCAGCATGTACACCTTGCGGCAGTTGTGCTGGTGCCGTCCCATGGCGAAGTTGGACTGCGGAGGTGAGGGCCGGACAGGACCGAGACTCAGTGGAAGCGTGCACTACTCCTCACGACGCATGTGCGCAGATAATGGGGCCCCACGAAGTGAAAACACGGAAAGTAGAATAACTTCGCCGAGCGGGAGTAAATCTACAGTGGAGGGTTTCCTTATTAAAGGGGCCATAAAACGAATTTTGGGATGGGATAAATTATTTTAAATTGAGAATTTACTAATCGCATATCGCTTAGTTGGCCAAAAGAAAGAGGCTAGAGTGTCAAAAGTCAGCTTTTCGGTACGAACATTTGAAAATATAGCGGACTATTTTGTACCTTCTTTCCTTCGAAAGCTCTCCGCCTTTTCACTATGATACATCCGCGGTTCCCAAAGCGCGTCAGCGGTGCCAACCTGACGTCAGCAGAGCCCAGCTCACGCATTGGACAAAAGAACTGCGTCCCTCGGACGTATGCGCTCGTCAACAATCCATCCGTCGACGAATATTTGGATTCGCGTTCGTGGCCAATCAGTGCCCAGACGGAACTTATCATCACTGGGGAATGACAAGTTCTATGGTGTGCATAAAAAACACGGTGGAAGCTAGGAGTCATCGCACCGGTGTCAAAGAATGTCAGGACGACGTGATTTCACAATTCGCATTTGAATTGAGGATTAAAGCTAAGGAGGAAGAAGTAGGAAAATCGTTTCATGACTCGTTTAAGGTAAAGTAAAAGATAATTTTGAGAACATGACAGGCGCTTTAAGACAGGGACGAGAGTAAGAACGAGACAACGCAATGCGCGTTGTGATGTCTCGTTCTTACTCTCGTCCCTGTCTTGAAGCGCGATCGTGTCTCGAAAGTTTCAGTAAACAACTCGCCCGAGAATCCATATTACTCAACTTTATAAGATAATTGTTGCTGGTTTATGAAAACGCCCGTATTGTAAAACTTTTTAATATGCAAACTAGTTAAACAGAAATAATTTCTTCCTGAAACTTTTGTATTGTATAGCTTTGAAATAAGAGAAATAGAGTCTTTGTTCTCGAATAATATATCTGGATTCATAAGGACTTATATACGAACACATTCAAAGTTAACTAAAAAAGAGGAACATAAGTAATTCTGAAATTGAACAACGTTTTGTTTTTCAAGAATAACAGCAACGGAATTTGCGCGAGTTTAACATCAGCAGCTGACATTTACCGCTCAATCACAGTGGAAGCGGATCCGCGTTCGCAAAGCGGTTGCGAACGCGGTTGTATAAAGATCCAGTACAATTGCACGCGCACTTGATGTCATCGAGTGCGCGCGCAATTGTACTGGATCGTTATACAAGCGCGTTCGCAACCGCTTTGCGAACGCGGATTCGCTTCCAGTGTGAATGAGCGGTTAGAGACAAGTAAAGGAACTCAAAGAGGGTGCCCCCCCCCTCCCCCCTCCCCCCCCCCTCCCCCCCCCCCCCCCTCCAAGTAGTGGTTGGATCCCAACGACCACGCAGCCGGTGTCAACAGTCACGACGTCCCAACTCACGGGCTTCACGTCCCTGTGCAGGAAGCCGACCTCGTGGATGCTCTGAATGGCCCTGAGGATCTGTAGCCCCAGGCGCAGCGTGGTGCTCAGCGAGAAGGCGCCGCGGGGCTGCGACCTCCGCAGCTCGGCCAGGTTTTTGCCCTGCAGCTGCATCACGACGTAGTTGAAGCGGTCGTTGCGGCCGCATCCGATGAAGCGGCACACGTGCTCTCGACCTGCCAAAGAAACAAAAGCACCCCACGGTCTCTTTTCTAAATCTCGAAAAAAAGCCGTGTTTCCACCGCTATAATACGTCACAATAAAAGACAGTGTGCAGACAGTCTCGAGCGTGTATGTATGAGGGTCCCGTAAAACCGCAGTCACGCTGCCCAAACATCGCATACGAAAGACACTGCGTTTGTTGCAGAAATCTTGAAGGCCGACGACCAGACTCGAGATTCTGCAAGGCAGAAGATTTTTCTCACCATGGGGGAGGAGGAAACAGGCAACGGTGGACAGGGTAGAACGGGGGAAAGTGGAGAGCGTGAAACGGAATTTGTCGTTTGTGCCATCCTTTCCTCCTATCCACAAAATGCCCCCCCCCCCCCCCCGTCCCCCCCCCCCCAAAAAAAAAAAAAAATATTTTTTTTTTTGCAACTTTAAATTTTGTTTTTACGAACGCTCAGCCTTTGTCCAAATGTAGCCCTATGGCGGTGCGGACCAGATGCCAAGGTTTCCGAACTAACCGTTATCATAATCAAATGTTGGGCGCAATTTTCGGATACTTTCGATAGGAAAATGGTGGCCGACGAAGCCCCAACGAACACGTGGAGATGAATGGCGTCGACCGGCAGGGACGAACCCGACTCTCCCAATAAAGGTGTCAGAAAATTACTTATGTAACTTTCGAGTAAGATAACGCGGTTAGTGTTGATATTTTGTCATCTGGTCTGGACCACTAGCGCTGTACATTCGGGCGGAGACCAAGCTTCCGGCGATGCGCACTCGATTCCTGTAACGAAGAAACAAACAAAAAAACAAAACAAAAAACGATGTAATTTGTGTTTGGGGACACGCTGTACTTAACCTGCTATCCTTTATCGCGCCTCTCTCCCTCTCTCCGACCAGCTCCGAAGGGAGCTGGTCAGAAACGGCGACGTTCTGACGTATGACCCTGCTGGACGTGCCCAAGAGACCCCGGAGGGGAGGCAACGACGTGTTTAGCTAGAATGACAGACTTCGTAGAAGACAACGCGTTTCGACGTATACTATGCACCATGCAGCGAAATATCGCAAGAACGGAGCCCCGTTCTTTTTATTTATTTGTATTTTTGTAAAAAACATGTGACCATGCACTTTTACCGAAAAAACACAATGGCATTTTTCAGTTCATTTACACCTGTTAGCCGCCATTTTCTTTCTAAAACATGCACCGTCACGCGGTTGGCGTTTCAAAGGGGTGTCGGACCTTAAGGTGCGCGAATACCACAGTGGAAAGGCAACCGGTTCTCTTAACAGCGTCGAGGCTAGGGATGACACAGCGCTATCCGAGCCGGTATGCCCGTATTCCCACTCCTTTGGTGGCGGTACTTCTAAAAGGCACAACATGTACCTATCCGCACTTCGCCTTATGTCCGAGCGGCAGCAAAGCCTAGAAGACACACAGACGTACACATGCGAACTAAAAGTGCCAAGTCGCGAAGCGCTGTAGCGCTCGATCGGATGAGCCGGCAGAAGACACAAAGACGGCGAATGTCGCGACGTCACCCTTTGGGCGCCGCTCGATTTGTCCCTCGGCCCGTAACACCAGTCGGGAAGCGCTCCACGGATCATACGTGGACGTCACGCACCACGGTGTATCTGATCTCGTCGACGGATGGGTTGCGGAAAAGAATAAACAAATTGGACGTTGTTAATGTTCGTACGGCGAGAGGCCGATCCGCCTTTGAGATAGGGCGTTTGGAGCCCTTTGGCCCCAAACTGCAATGGCGGGGCTCCAAGAGAACCCGACGAGGGCTGACCGGTGATAAGGGATTCTCCGGGAATTCCCCGAGCGTTTGGCACGCGAGGAAAGTAATGAATTGAGCGCCAACTGCCAACTGACGTTTATGGATCGCGTGTTTGAGCGCCAGCCTCGCCGTTCGTACGAAGAGGAGGTCCCCGTAGCAGGCTGACATCTTTGTGCTCTCGTTTATTAAACCCTATAAAATACTCCTGAAATATTTCGTTTGAAATTTCCCGAGGTGACGATGATTTACGATTTCAAATATAGGTTGTCGGGTGCTGTTATCTCGTCGAAAGAGATCGCACGAACTCGGTCGCAAGCAAACACAAGTGTGTGAACGGGCCTTTGCTTTTTAACGTGAAACATTCTTTGGTTACGTGTTTGGCACTTCGCGAAGCCCAGATAAAAGCGTGGCCGCGAAGCTCGACGCTGACTGGTTAACGAGTGGGAAAGGAGGAGTAAGGTACTCGATGCTGATTGATTAACGGGGGAGGTCACGTGACCAGAGGGGTAGGCGAGGAGGAGCTCCACCACCTGTGCGCACTGAGAGAGAGGAGCACGAGACTATGGAAGGCCCTAGAAGATCGACATGTTTATCAGCCCGATTAGCGGCAGTATCGCTTCATTCTGGGAACACCTATCGAGTGTACGCATGATACGCGTTAAACTATTTGAAGAGGAGCGCCGTGAACATAGGCGTCTGGCAACTGAAGGTATCGCTAAACGTTTGTGATGGTAGAGAGTTTCACGCACGCAACACAATGGCCTAGATATTTGCCGTACATTTTACGGACCATACAATGGGTAAGCAAAGCGGCCTCCAACCACCTTCTGGCAGTCAACTCGGTGGCTCTCGGTTCTGCTATCGCGCGCCTTGTATCCTCCGACGTCAAAAAAAAAAAAAAAAAAAAAAAAACAGCGTTGCGATGCACCGGCGGAGACACTTTTAGAGGAGTCACCTGGACGCCAACCGAGTACGGTCAATGCACTTAGCGAGGGACATAAAACGACCCCGCCGAAATACCAATAAGAAAACAAAAAAGACGGTTTGGCCAGCATCCAGGAAGCGCAAAGTTCTCTTAGCCACGCGTTGCCTGCCGCGCCTGACTGATGAACCCCTTCACGGCCGGGGGAACGGATACAAGCGGCGAGACGACCGAAATAACTCGGCCATATCCCCCTTTATATCATCGGGCGGACAAAACCGAATCTAAAGCGAAAGAAACAAAGAGTAGAAAACGCGAGGCGAGGTTATCCGATTTCCGCCATCGCGAACTAAAAATAATGTGTTCGGAGACGTTCCGGGTCCGTCACATCATCTCCGCCATTAAAACGGGTGTCGGTCCTCCTAACGCGCGCGCGGTTAGTGCGCCTTGATCGAGTGAGTTGAGCGTGTGTACGGGGCTGGCTACTGAGGGGCGTGGAGGTGTAACGGATGGAAGTTGCCGAATCTCGCCACCAAGCTCACCGAGGCGCCGTTTACACAGAAGCACGCGCCTTTGCCCGCACATTCGCGCGAGGCGAAAGCGTCTGCGCATGCGCAGTGCCGACAGCAGCGCCACCGCAGGCGCGTGACGTCACGCTCGTACTAAAAAAAAACAGAAAGAATGCATCGACGTTTTTATTTAAGGTTCTATATTGCGAGAAACAAAGTACTTGACGAGCTGCCGTTTAAGTTTGTTTAGAGGAATTACGAGCGTCACGCGACGTTACGGTATCGAGTGGCGGCGTCACGCGGCACCGTAACGTAACGCGACCCGACGTCACGCGATCTGGTCGCGTGACGTGGCGTCACTTTGTCACGTGACTGCCACATCATTGCGTCTTACGTGGCGTCACGTGCCATTGGGTACGCGCGGACGCACGGATAAACGACTTTTCGGGAGTCTTATAAAACATTCCATGATTCCAAAAAAAGGAAATTGGCCCCGACGTTTATTTACGAGGGGTTAAAATGCGTGTATGCACTATTTAATGCGCGTTCGTTTAAATTTGTTTAAAATACATTAAACAGTCGTTTACAGGAGCGAAAAAGGAGTTTTCGTAGATTGTTTTCGCAGCAGTCCCACGACCTTGTCCGCAACCCGCTACGGTATCCAGACTTTATAGTCAAGTCCATCGGCGCGCAGGCGCAGTAGCAGCTTCTTCGTTGCGGAGGGCTTTGCGGAGGGTTTAGCGGAGGGGGAAACGCGGTCTACGAAAACTCCCTATTAACCCATTTCACCGCTATATTTAGCGGAAAAACTGATTTATTGCATAGGTCACGTGACGCAAAGTTCCCCCGCTAAATTTAGCAGGGAAACTGAATATCTGTATGGGTCACATAACGTCAATTTCCACGCTAAGTTTAGCGGGGAAACTGACTTGCCGTATGTGTCAGGTGACGTCAATTTTCCCGCTATATGTAGCGGGGAGCAACTTTGCGGGAGTAGAGGCCCCCATTAACGCGATCCATGCTTCTGAAAATTAAAAAGAAAAGGGGGGGAGTGTGTTTACCTTGGAGCTTCTTGAGCACGGCCACCTCCATCTTGAGCACCTGCTTGGCCTGCTTGGCGGACTCGAGCTTGAGCGCCACCAGCTCTTTGGTGACCAGGTCGAGGCCCTCGTAGATCTCTCCGAAGCCTCCGCCGCCGATCTTCTTGACCACTTTCCAGCGCTCCTTGACCACGTGTCCAGGCTGGAGCAGGTCTTCGCTCGTCATAGTGGGCCGGCAGCTGGACTCGTTGGGCTGGTCGTCCTCCTCGTCATCGCACGACGCCTCGCCATTATAGCTGTACCTGGATCCCGGCAAAGGAGAACCCTCCGTCAGATGCTGCGGCAAACGATGCGCTGAACCCCCGAAAGGAAAGGTCTATATTTAGTTCCAATAGCAAAAGTATGTCGAAAATAAAAAGATACTGGATGAAAAAAAATAAGAAAACGAAAATACATTTACTCTTTTGCCTAGCCAGTCCACCTATCTTGCTTGTTACAATAAAATCACAGTGCAAAAACGCGAAAGAAGGATGGAAGAACTGAACAGGCACAATTATGCTCAATTCCCACAGAGTGTTCTTGTATTTTTGTTTTTACTATTTTTAACGCTGTTATTATTATGTACTAAATAGCTGAAGTCCATGTATCGCTGGAGTACCTCGGTTGCTTAAGCCTTAGACGTCCTTCTTCCCGTGTCTAAAAAAAAAGAAAAAAAAAAAGACGTTTACAATTTTTTTGTAATGCCGAATTAGAACGCAGCTCTTGAGGATGAGGAGGGGACGGCACGGAGGGAAGGGTACGGAGGAGAATTTACCGTGAAATATTGGTACAATTGCCCGGTAAATTTCCCCGCTAAATTTGGCAAAAAATGTATTGCTAAATTTGTCGGAAAAATTCTTCCGCTAAATTTAGCGGGAACATTTTCCGCCAAATTTAGCCGCCGTGTGACGTCACGAAGGTGACGTTACACGTGACGTTACGTGTGACGTCATTATGGGAAACGTTCCGTAATGCAACGCGCGGTTACGCCGACCGCAACGGCGACGCCCTTCAAGCCGGAAACGGGCACTTAAGAGCTGCGCTCTAAAAAAATGCATTTCGACGATCAAGGTCAAAGAAAATCCTGAATTATCATAATCTAAACACTAAGTCAAGGGAAATAAAATAACGGCCAAGACGATGTTGTTTCGAAACCAGCTCGCGGGCATACTTCCGCTCAAAATTATATATTTTTCTATTTTATTTCCAGTTTTATTGAGCTTGCTGACTGGCGTCGATACGACGCCAGAAGGAAAGACGCCAAATGTCTGCCATCCAATGAAAAATGAAATAACTAAAACGTAAGAACCGTCTTTGCTGCGGCCATACCACACCAACCGGGGGATGCGTAATGCCGAGAAGCTGGCTTTCCTACATACCGAGTCAGTATGCGGGGAAGCATCCCAGAAATCGCAGGCCGGGCGGATAGTAGTTTTTTTTTTATTTTGCCCGTGGATCCCGGCGACCATTACTCGGCGGCTCCCCTCGCCACGAGGAAAGAGCAAAAGAATAGCTTCTCCTTTTAAGAAGATGGCGAAAGCTTGCAAACTGAATAAACAAAAAAGCCCCCCCGAGGTTATCTAGGTCTTTCTGCGTATGGAGCAGCAAAACTGCCCACGTGGCTTTTAGCGGCGTAGCATAGCAACGGGCAGCATAGCAACGTACCAAGCATCAAGATATAGTTTTTAAGAGTCGGAGTGCAGTGTGTGTGTGCACCGCTCGCGAAGAAAGACGATGCCAAAGTAAGTAAGCGGGGGAAATAGTATATTCCAGACATTCTTCATAAACACACGTCGCAATCCGGTAACGTTCTGCGTGTCACCCCACGAATGCGATCCCGCGTTCTTCATAACAAGAACAAAATTTTAAAAATGCGCCGCCAATATTGTGCATGGAGCAATTTAGCGGTTCATGTTAAACCAAGAGGTCCTGCTTGTTGCCATTTGGTCAGATGGTCAGCTGACGCTGCCACAGGGTCAGTTGACACCGCAACTGAAATAAACTCAATATCGGTAGCGCTTTCATCTATTCGTCCAAAATTGATAATGAATCACGACCCCAAAGTTCTCAAAAGCAACTAAAGTGTGCGCTTTCGAACCCCATGCCTACTAAAAACTACACGTGGGAAAATATTTTTTTTTGCCATTTACAACGCTAGATGTACTATAATTCAATCAATTTTATAAGTACGTGACAATAACTAGCAATCTATATAGAAACAATTTTAAATATGAAATAAAAAAAGAAATCTGCGGAATCCAAAAAAATTGTTATTCCTTAAATATTTACTAGTTACGAGAAAAAAAGACAGACGGCACTAACTACCCCCGATATTTAACACTTTACCAGAGTCTTGGCTTCATTTATCACCCATTCGTGTGGCAAATAGATGAACGCGAATGGATTCGTATGACCGCACTATAAACATTGTTACTTCACAATTGTAGTTCTGTTAGATTATGATTTGATTCGCTAATACTTTTTTTTTCTTCTCGTAACGCCTAAAGATGCATAGTGTTTTGACGTGTGCCTGATTCCACATATAAGCATTTTTGCTTTCCTGGGCCAGCACTTTTCTACGTATATTTTTATGTCCAATGACCAATAAAAAAAAATTAACTCCCGTTAAGGCAGGAAGTGAAAAATAAAACTCAAAGTGATCATACAGCTGCCTTCCTTGTTATCCCGCTATTCTTCAATAAACAAAAACTAAAAACACATATTATTATTATTATTATTATTGTTATTATTATTATTATTATTATTATTATTATTATTATTATTATGAATCGGCAGATCGGACTTGGGCTCACCTTCGGAAGTGCAGCCAGTACAGTGTAAAGGGAACCTCGGCCCCGTGCACGCTTAGGCGCCCCATCCCAACATCGAGTGGCGTCGACGGAGCGCGGGCGCCGGAGGCGCCCACTGGGCACGCCCACGTGACCGCCGCAGCAAGGCTACTCCGAGAGAGAGAGAGCTTACCTTCTCCCCCTCACTTTCTCCTCTCTTTTGGTTGTTGAGCCCTAAAAGATGTTCCCGAGCGTTGTTCAGTCGTAAAAAAGGAACTTTATAAACAAGCCAGCGAACGAACGCTATGAAACTTTTCACAAAGGTGTCTTTAGAGGTGGTGTATTCATCATTCTCAATTTGTATGCGCGTTTTTTTTTTGTTTTGTTGTTTTATGGCAAGAATAGAAGAAAAAAAAAACACATTATTCCAATGCAGAGGGAACAAAAAGGGGAACAGCTCGACTGTTTGGTGCCGCTACCGCATCACCGTATGCTCATCCTCCGCCCAAACGCAGCGCTAGAGGTGCGAACCAGACGCCAAAGTTTCAGCACTAACCCTAATCTTATTCAAAAGTTATAAGTGATTTTTCCTAAAATGTTCAATGGGAAAATGAACTTACGTCAGCAGCAGCCATTACCGGGGACAGAATTCTCGAAGACATGGAGCCGTAGGGGACAGCTAGCAAAAATAGGAAGAATGGGCCTCATTTTCCCGTTAAAAACTTCGGAAAATCACATAACTCTTGAATGGGAACGGTTAGTGATAAAACTCTGCCATCTGGTTGAGACCTATAGAGCTACGTTTTGGCGGATAATGAGCGTTCGGTGGTGCATAATTTATTTTTACACACTCACACACACACACACACGCACACGCACACGCACACACACACACACATATTATTTTTTTTTCTTATTTTTTTTTTTGGGGGGGGGGGGCACATTGTTTTATATGTGCAGGGTGTTTACAAAAACAGAGACTAAATCGATCCTGCAGAAACTACGCATCGCACATAAAAAAGATGCGTTGATGCCGTAGTGGTTTCTGCCGAGGACCCATTAGGGAACAATATTACCGTTCGGTATAATTATGTAATAAATTACTTTTTAATAATGATATTTTTATTTATTATCTTTAGATGTACGATTTCAAACAGAAACTTGATGCGAATCATCCAAAACTACTAAATCCCCCCCTATTACAATGATATAAGGCACGCGCGCAGAATTTTAAGACCTTCAAAAAAAATATTGCTCAATTTAGATGAGTTTCCAGGTTTTGGGTTTCTTATCGGAGTGCCTCTTCACGTCAGCAATCCCCAAACCCCGTGGCCAAAACGCACAACTTGCGTGCACCGACACGCATGGCACATAAAGGTGCGTCCTGACACTGGTACCGACGTCAAAAAGGCGAACCTCATGCGACGGTCCGGGGGCTCTAGCCTCTTCTACGCACGATGCGTGGCGGCGAATATTTCCTCGCACGTTTTGACTGGCCTAGAGATGCGCGTGAACATGCGCTCCGATAAGAAACCGAAACCTAGAAACGCGTCCGAATTGAGCATTTCTTCAGAAAGCCATAAAATGCTGCTCGCGCCTTGTATACTCGGAATGTGGGCGGATGTAGTAGTTTTCGATGATTCGCATCGAGTTACTAATCAAAACCTTATGCCTTTAAAGCTTTAATTACTCTAAGGTAATTACATCACTCAATTACACTGAACGTTAATAATTTTGTTTTCTTAATGGGCTCTTTGGGACAGATCACTACAGCATCAACCTATTTTTTGTGCGATGATTACTTTTCGCAAAAGCTATTTAGCCTGCGTTAAAGAAAAAAACATTTTGTATATGAAAGAATCTTTAGAAATGCTTGAGACCAGCCAGCAGATAACTTTGTTATCATGTCTGCTACGAACATCGTGTCTTTGGTTTCGATTTAGGAGTAGTGTGAACTCCAGCTTGAAGATTCTAATGGGACTTTGAAAACGAACAGCATTTATGTCGCAGCCACGGCATTCGTTATTACCTAAACACGTACTATACTTGCTCTTTTTTCGACGGTTTTTCTTCGACGGGTGCGTTATCCTCAAAAGTGGTTTCTCGATTTCCGCCCGATGAAGCCATAAAAGTTTCACACTGTCACTGGCCGCCATCTTGGCGGTGTTACGGTAGAGGTTGTGAACGCTGCAAAGCACCGATTCTAGTGCAGGTCTGTAGCTTGACGGTCCACGGAGGCTAGCTGGATGCCTCGTCCAGCTAGCCTCAGCACGACGACACTCCGGCTTTCGTGACGTCATTATTTCTTGCCGCTTCGGGACCTACTTTCGACGCGTGGCCAGGATAGGACGTTGAACGCACCAATCGGAGGCGCGGCGCCATAGAGTTGGAAGAAAGCGAACGATCGAGAGCCACGGTTCGAACTGTCCGAGGCGGGCGGACGCTGCGTCACGCTCGCTTGTCTCGTCGCGTGT